CAACAATAGGTGCCCAGGTCTGATCATCTAGATCTATACATCCATCCTTCCACCCAGCACCACTCAATCCATTCAGATACTTGTAAAGGCTGTATCGTTGAGACAACTGTAAAAGATAAATGATATCAATATCAATCCAAAAAACGAAGATGAGAAAGAAATACCAACTTACAACATACCAGTGATCCTTGCATGCCTTGATGGTTTTGGCTGCACTGACTTGAACTAAACCAGTAGTTTTATTTTTTTTTTCCTCACTTCCGGCGAGTGCCTCCACAACCTTAGTCCAAACAGCAGACTTGAAACCATGAGCGCTGGTAGTTTTCTCAGGTCCGATTGGTGCGTTGCCAGGTTGACGTTCATCAGTGAGTACTTCAATCATAATTGAATCATCTTCATCATCCCATTCAGCCTTGAGATTCGATTTTTTTGGCGTCTTGGTGATTGGTGGAGCAGTTGGCGGGTTTGGATTAGTCGATGAGATTGGGGTGATTGGTTCTAAGGTAGTAGGTGAAGTAGGTGAAAGGTTTTCACCTACTACAGGTCGGGCAGCTCTAGGAGCTTGCTGTCGTGGTTTTTTACTGGGTGTGGCGGCGGTACCCATAACGATTGCAAATAAAACAAGTTTAAAATCAAATTGAATTAGATCAATAATCGAATTGAATGAAATTGATTCTTGACATGAATTAAATTGAAATAAGTTGAGAATAAGAAGATTGAAATAAGTTCTGATAAGTTGATTAATTGAATTGAATCGTTCATAACACTACACAAAATATAATATTTTCTGGGCAGAAAATTAAATTATTGATACACAAAAATATTGAGAGGCCAGGAGAAGGGCAAAAAATAAATTAAAATATGCATCTTGTTCCCTGCGGTGAGAGCTTCACTCTCCATATTTTTCCATATTTTTACAGTCCGTATTGATAAGTGTACTAACAATAAACCTTCATAATCATCCAATTACAACCTGTAACAAGCACTGAAATTTGGCTCATTAGTGTTTAGAGAAACTTTTGATTTCTGAAAACACCTATAACTTTGTCAAATCTGCCTCAAAACACTAGATTTTAAGTGCATTAGAAAGCTGAACTCTTCCTCTCAAACTTTCATACGATCAAGAACTATGTAGCTAGTATGACAATCATTCTATGGATCTGTATGTACAAACGTATAAAAAAGATGATATCTTTTTTAGCAGACCAGCACGCTGTGTGGTCCTATTATGAACTATTTGGAGGACAATTCCAGCTTACTAATGCACCCAAAATTGAGCGTTTTGGACCGGAATTGAAAAAGTTATGAGTATTTTCAGAAATCAAAAGTTTCTCTAAACACTAATGAGCCAAATTTCAGTGCTTGTTACAGGTTGTAATTGGATGATTGTGAAGGTTTATTGTTAGTACACTTATCAATGTGGACTGTAAAAATACGGAAAAATATGCAGAGTGAAGTTCTGAATGCAGGGAACAAGATGCATATTTTTATTCATTTTTTGCTCTCCTCCTGGCCTCTCAATATTTTTGTGTATCAATAATTTAATTTTCTGCCCAGAAAATATTATCTTTCTTGTAGTGTAAGTTGATCGAATTGAATTGAAGTGAAAAACAAGAGAATTGATGATAAAAGGAACGGTGGATGGCAGAAAGGGGTGTTGAGTGGGTGAAGGGTGTTTGATTGGCAAAGTTTTGAATTTGGTGAAGTTCGAGTGGGTGGTGGGTGAGGTTGATGGATAGCGGTGATGGGGCAAAAGTTGCTTTTGGTCTCAAAAGCAGCCTTGAGGCTGCTTTTGAAATCGGACCAACTTTTGGCTAAAAGTACTTTTTGGTTTTGATCAAACGACCTTTACCGAACGCCGGTGTTTTTGACCAAAACTGAAAAGTACTTTTGGCCAAAAGTACTTTTTGGTTTTGGTGTAGCTTTTGGCCAAAAGCTACTTTTCGGTTTCAGCCGAACGGGCCCTTACACACCGCACTGTCACCAACTGCACCATGATGATGTTGAGAATGTTTTTTGTTGAACAATCAAGAATTATTTCTATGTATTTTGTTTGATCTGGCAGGTAAGTTTGACACCTGTCACAACTTTACTGCCAGGCGCACGGACCATCTGTTGATTTTGAAAACTTCTCAATTTCAACCTTTATGAAATCTACTGTACACAAATATACCACCAAAAACACATGACTGTACTGGGTTCGGTTTGAATAGGGAGTCAAAAGAAGTGAATCATTTCAATCAGTCGGTGTTTAGCAGGTCAACACGAGTTGAGTCAAAGGACACACATACTTTGAATCAGGAATAAGATAAGAAATCGATTTGATGAAATTGAAGGTATCTGATGAACGGAACAGGATATTGAACCCGCGGGAAAGATAAGGAAGATATTCAGAAATCAGAGGATTGATATCATTATGAGAAAGGCATTCAAGGAGCTTACTTGAGTCAAAGCCAGGATATTACAGTCAAGACCAAGAGGGTAAGATCATGTAATGAAAGCTTGAGAGATATCCTCAATTCTCAAAGGATATGGTGAGGTAGAGAGAAGGGATTGGACGATTCAAGTGATCCATGGATGGGTTTGGAGGCGGTGGATTGGTGCTGATGAGTCGGCAGCACCGATTGTGATTGGTGGACAGCCCCTGTCAATTGGATACACTTCAATCACGATTGAAGGCTATGTATGCTTATAAAATGGCCTGTATTGGCCTGTATTGATGAGAAAATAAAAAATAAAAAATGGGAATGGACAAGCAAAACTGGAATGACTGTACATATAATTCTGTAGCTGCTCCGGAAATATTGTTCAGGCAATTTCTTGGTAACCAAAAGGGTGTTACATGCGGTTAAGTTCATGAGATTAAATTTACACCAAAAAGTTGGGTCAGTGTATGTAGTCAATCTTTTGAATGCTTTTGTCAATCTGAAAAAGTTACAGCATGTATTACTTATGAATAACTTATCCTGATTGTTACGGCTGAGCTGAACTAGGCATCATATATAGATGGCTTGGCATCTAACCTGATCTCACCCATTTTTGGTTTAGGCTGGTTGGAATGCTAGGGAAGGATGTAACATGGTGTTTCACTAATTTTCTTCCAGTCATAATTGTAACGCCATGCAAAACATGTTTCATATAAATTGCATTTGTTTTTCCTACAAACTTGTTGTTTCTCTATTGTCACATCACAATTCTTATTTGTTTTGGTAGACCTTTCACTGACAACTAGTTCACTAGGTTAGAACTCTATCTTCATTTCATGCAATTGTCACAATTCTTATTTGTTTTGGTAGACCTTTCACTGACAACTAGTTCACTTGTTTACGTTCCATCCTCTTTCGTCTTATCACTGATGAGCAGATAACTGAGTAGAACTGTATGTACATGATAACCACCTATTCACTGAGCCTGCTACACATATGTAGTGTGGGTATCATGGCTCAGGTGTGGAGTGATAGATCATTTTATGATAAATCATATTCCCAATCATTTTTTCCTGCCCACTTGAGGAAGTTGAATAATGTTTGCAGTGCTTGCACCATATAGTCCCGATTTCAATCTGATGAAGAAAGCCTTTGAAGTGATCAAAAGCCATGTGCATCAAACTCAAGCACTGGTTGGTGATTTCACCTCTGAAGAAGAAGCTGGGATTATTTGCACTACAACTAAGGATGTGATCACCCCAAAGTCGGTTTGGAGCCTACATGATGGCTGGGGTTGTTTGTAAATATCTGGACCTTTGTGTCAAACAGGTGATACTACATAGAGGATACTCTTGTAACAAAAGGTGTATGGATCTTTGTTATCTATGATTGTTTTTCTTATCATTAAGCCAAGTTGTGAGTCTACCATGGGCTGAAAAAATCTATGTACATAATATTTTCTCTCCAAACAAGTCAAATCTCAAGTTTGGATCTATCTGAGCCTTTGACTACACACCAGGGACAACTTTACATTGCAAATGACATACAGCCATTCCGATATTGCTTGTTGCACCCTTTTGAAAAGAAAAAGTTTGTGAGCTCGAAACCTAAGTTTTAACCGGTTAAAACCTGAAGTTTGGCTGTATTGCCTTGAATTACAGCTGAGTTTGAAGTTTTATCGAGTAAAAACTTAGGTTTCAACTTTTTCTTTTTCAAAACGGAGCGACAAGCAATATCGGAATGGCTGTATGATAATCCATGTTGAGATTAGTCAACATCAGACACCGCGGGAATCATTAAGTGTGAAACCGGATTGAGCAAAGTTGTGGTGTCCGGGTCTGCGACTTCCTTCAATCACGGACCTCGTTTGCCATGGGTTTGCCATAGGTTTGCAAGCTTGTCTCGAGCTGCCCTCTACATAGTCATCCACTCAGGCTGTAGTATGGACTAATGGAGAGACCATATGTCTAGACTCTTGTAACATATACATGATAAAGCTCATGACTCATACATGATCTTGAGTGGTCTGAGGATATTGAAAGGAAAAACATGCATAACATGGACTGCAGCTCATGCGGACAACTCGAGGGCAGATTGATGCAAGCTAGCAAACCTATAGCAAACCTATGGCAAACAAGATCCGCAATTGAAGAAAGTCGCGGACCCAGACACCGCGACTTTGCTCAATCAGCCCGCAGTGAGAGTACATCTGGTAAGCTACATGTACCGGATGACATGAGAAAAGATTACATGGTCTCACAACCTTTGCTGAGATTCCCAAGAGCAAGATATAAAAAAATGGACATAACTTGGTTACATACAATCAAATCTGGATGGGTTGGAAGAAACCTTTTTGAAAAAGACTAGCTTGGTGGCTAAAAGCTAGGATAACAAATAATGAACATTTGTAGGAAGCGATGGAGCTGGAAATAAAGGAAAGCCAAGTGATGGAAAGGAGGAGTGTGAAGCAGATAAAAAGGCATTGTCAAAAGTGTGTGAGAAACATTTCGAGTTCAGCTTTAGGGTTGTTGAAGTTGTTGACCTAAATGCCATAACCAACACCCATACCAAATCATGACTGAAATGGCCAAAGATGCAAGAAGCGACCATCAGGGAGACGAACGAGATTACCTTTTTTACGTTCTTCCATCTTCCAATCTCACTAATAGTACTACTGCCGGTGGTCTTTGTTGGCTAGAAGCTTCCCAGGAGTGCGAGACCAAGAATGATACCAATCCGAACGAAGTCAGATTAGCTCTTCCAAAGCTAGTCACTGCACCACCCTCTCATCATGCAATCAACATCGTCTCCGAAAAGATTATTCCATTCGTTCAACCTTCAGCAGACAGTCTTGATACTTCAACGTCAGTAGATTGGCACGTCATTTGGAATCCAGCAGCTGGAAAGCGACGAGCAAAGGCTTGGTTGGAACAGCTTGTGATACCTCTTCTCACTTTTGCTGGCGCTCGTTTCAAGGTTCACGAAACATCCTTACCAACGACCAACGACAGCAAAAATAAAAATGTTCATCAAGACATCTTTAGTCTTACGCCCGATCAAGCCAAGCCAATCGATCGAGGTCACCCAAAGGTGATCCTCATGGGTGGTGACGGAACAACTTACGATTTTCTAAACCAGATCACTACTTATGATCCTAGCACCGGCAAACCGATCATACCATCCTTCGAACTGCTCATCATACCTCTTGGGACCGCCAATGCTCTCTTCTTCTCAGCTCATCCCTCAGCTTCAGACCTCAATAAACCGCGAAACGTCCTCAGAAGCTTACTTCTAGCTCTCTTCTCAACTACCGCCCCACCAAGCGAGCAAGTTTCAAAGACTCTCCAGCTTGCTCATGTTAGGGTCTTTGACAGTGATCACCAACTTACACATCAAGCTATAGCCCATGTTGTTATCTCGACCGCACTTCATGCTGCAATTCTTCATACTGCTGATCAACTACGTGATAGTCCCGAATTCGAAGGTTCCTCGCGATTCTTCGAGGCTTTCAAACGTAATAACACTAGGCTCTGGAAGGCTAGCTTACTGCTACTACCGATCACTTCACCAGACTCTGGATCATCAAGCTCGATCCTTCGTTACGAGCCTGATGATGAAAAGTTCATTACGATCTCTGAATCAGATCAAGATACTTTGATGGAAGGAGAATTTAGTTACTTTACTTCATGCTTGATCGATCGACTCGAAGCGAATTTTGTAATCGCTCCAATGCGTTCGAGTCTTACTTACGAATCTAATCATTCGATTGATATAGTAGTCCTTCGTCCTAAGAGAGATATTCGAATGAAAGATTTGGTAGGAGATGAATTAGGAACCGCATCAGCTCATCAGGTCACAGAAGTCATGTCAGGAGCTTCAAATTCGGGTCATCATCTTCAACTCACTCTTCCAGATGGTCAACCTACAGTAGAGTACTTTCGTTGTGGTGGATGGGAATGGAGATCTGTTAGTTCGATCTCAAGATGTGATTTTTTTCTTCAAAATCGTAAAGAAGCTGATGATCTTACTCTTCAAATCTTTGTTATCTTAGTCAAGCCCTGATCAAGAAGTTTGTATTGATGGAATGTTGATCAAGATCCCTGAAAATGGATCAGTTCAATGCGCTGTCATCAACAATACCACCCATCGCGTTATCATGTGGTAAACGTCCAGTGACTTTTGATGTATAATTTTCAATCGGTACGAGGCAGCTGGTAAATTGTTTCAGCCTGGTCTTCAAGGTGGACTTGTTTTTCTGTTTCATGGCTTATGAATCCAGGTGGTTCTGTTCTCTCAAATGAGTTTTTGTGTGCAATGTTTCGAGCCTGATTGCAATACTACATGAAGATATACTAGATGAAGCTTATTCCATAGGTACCATGGCGATGACTACATAGATACGAGTCAAGGTGTCTTTCCTGTCCACAGTGAGTTCTAGAGGCTTGCAGCACTTGACTTCGAGGGGTCCCACAAGAGATGACGCTTAATCAGATGAAGTTTTCAGAGAAAAGGTATTGTCCAGTGGCTTTGCAATTCGTGTGGGTCAAACACCTTTGAAAACCACACTATCTACACTTTCAATCCTACATAAATATATAAGATAATATTTGAGTGTGTACAGCATCAGTGAGACTCTTGGATGTCAATCCATTGATATGGTTCATATTTTAAGTATTACTACAGTTGTCAACAAAAGAAGACAAACCACAACAGAGAAGAAGATGAAGAGAAGTGGTAAAGGATTATGTCCCTATGACATATCTTTTTTGTTTAAGCCAGAAATAAAGTAACACAAAGAGTTCATGCGGCAATGGGTGCGATTCCTTTTGACACTAAGATCTCAGAGACTTGTTCATAAATTGCTTCGACTTTTTGTGAAGTTTCTCGAATCTGAAATCGCATGAAAGTGAAGTAATTGAAGGTGATCAGTAAATCCTCAGAGCTTGCTTAACAAACTAGATTGGATGCAAATAAAACAAAGGATCACTCACTGCCTCATCCCATCTGATAGTAGCAGGTACAATCTCCAACATCTCATCAGCACCTTCAGCTCCTGCCTTTCCACCACCCGCAGCAGCCACATTGCTGACAACTACATCCCCATCCACTTTTCGTTCGCGCTGAAAAGTGACCATGCGCTCGACTTGATCAATCGAAGCCTTCAATCTACCCTCCTGAATCATAGTTCTAGCCATCAATTCTACAGCGCCAGCAGTAAGACCCACAAGATTTCCAAGACCTTTCAGAGTGATATGATTATAAATCTTTGAAGCTGATAATAAGTTATGTTGCATGACTGCTCTGTCAAAGACGGTCTCAGGACTTCTTTTCAAGTCTCTTACTGATCCATCTTTCATGGTTTGATCTTGATCTGTTTCATCATCATCTTGATGAATCAAACTACTCGAAGGTAATCTAGCTAATTGATGTGGTTGAAGTCGTTTTTCAAATTCAACTAATTCATCAGCTCTAATGATTTGACCTAAGAACATTTTAGATAAAATCTTATGATCTTTTAAATTTAAGGTTCTTTCATCACGAAACAAAGTGGTTAATAACCAAGATCTTGAAGGACCGGCTGGTGCTAAAACTGAACAAATCAATGATGCACTTAAACATTGTTCTCTTTCTTCTTCTGCTAAGTTTGGTGTAAAACTGATTTCATGATATTTTTTACTTGCTTCTTCAAATTTACGTTTGGCATCAAAGATTCTGGCTTGTGAAAGTTTAAAAGATAAAATCGTATGCTGTCAAAAAAATTCACATTTAGCAATTCATCATTAATTTCACCATGTGCTTTACGTTTGTTTTGTAAAGAGAAGATGGGTCTTACCTCGTCTTTTGTATCTTTCATGTATGAATTAGCTCTAGATAGATAAGTTTCAGCTGATGTCGCGTCATCATCTTCAAGTAAAAGTCTAAGAATCCGTATATAAATCTTTAATCGATATTCATCTGATACTGTCCTAAAAAAATCAAGAAGATGGATTAATGTCTAAAGATCAAAAAGAGTTTAAAATTTCGAATTGAGATCAAAAGAAAACAGTGAAACCTTGAATGAACCTATTTGTACCGGTTAATGGGATCCCTTGTAAAACTTTAGCAGCACCAGACCAATCTTCTTCTTCTTCTAATAAATCAGCTAAAGCTTCTCTCAGATCAGTCACTTGTTCTTCAAATCTACTTTCTCTATTACAAAATTCAGTTTGATTTAAGATCGTTTCAATCAATTGACGTTTGAATTCTCGGTCAGATTCTTCTTTGATATGTTTGATTAATTCATTCAAGACTGTTTTAGTGACTAATAATCCTACTGCATCTTGTACTATTGATCCTATGAAGATATTCAATGAATGGATTGTTTGATGGTCTTTTTTGGTTAAGATGGTGTGTAATAGTTCAATGTAGGCTGATGATTTAGATGTTTGATTTAATTTACTGATTTCTGATAATCGAACTTCCATTGTTTCTTCTTCCTTTCCTTTCCTTTGATTTGATTAGTTTACTTCAAGTGTAGATATGATAAGTTTGATTTGATCGAGTGATGCTGAGTATGTATTTCTCTTTCTTTGTGATGTAAATATATTGGGTGTGATCAGATGTCGAGGCTGTGATACGTGATGAGGATGCTTATAGAGTGTATCCAGTATGCTACTATCCTAACTTGAGCCAATCGGAGTTGACAAGTTTCTCAAAATTCTCATTCAACTCAACTGTCTTCTTTCTTCATTCTCATTCTTGTGCTTATCTTCTCTCAGACCAAATCAACATCCAATGCATTACTTTTCAACTCGAGGTGGCGATTCACGTTTATCATTTGAAGAGGTCTGCCTAAAGTTTACCTAAACTTTCTTTCAACTCAACATCAATCATTCCAAACTTCAGCTTCTCTGCAACATATAGACTGACCACCTATGAATTTTGATTCGATGTCTTTTTTACCGAATTCATTTCATTTACATCAAAGACAGTCTTAGCTGGACTTGCTCCCAACGGTGGTCTTTATATCCCTTCCTCAATTCCCACTTTACCTGAAAATTGGCAAACCCAATGGGAATCTCTTTCATTTACTGAATTGGCTTTAGAAATTTATTCTCTTTATATACCGATTACTGAAATCTCAAGAAACGAACTGGCTGAACTTATCAATCGATCTTATTCAACCTTTTCACATCCTTCTATCGCACCTATCAGAACTCTCGATCCCACTACATCTGTTCTTGAACTTTGGCATGGTCCTACTTTCGCATTCAAGGATGTTGCTTTACAATTCTTGGGAAACTTGTTTGAATTTTTCTTGGCACGTAAGAATTCTACACGACAACATAAACAGAGGATCACGGTTGTAGGTGCTACAAGTGGTGATACTGGTAGTGCAGCTATCTATGGTCTTAGAGGTAAAAAGGATGTTTCAATCTTCATTTTACATCCTAAAGGTAGAGTTAGTCCGATTCAAGAAGCTCAAATGACGACTGTCTTGGACTCTAATGTCTTTAATTTGGCTGTGGAGGGTACATTTGATGATTGTCAAGTGAGTTGACTATGAAAACCTATCATTCTTAGGCGAAAAAAATAACAATCTTACTAAACGATTTTAACTTTTGGATTGTTTTTTTAGGATATTGTTAAAAGTTTATTTAGTGATGCAGAATTTAAAGAATCGTATCAATTAGGAGCCATTAATTCGATTAATTGGGCTAGGATCTTAGCTCAAATTGTGTATTATTTTTCATCTTATTTTGAACTTAGAAAACATGCAAAACTTAATCATCGAATTCAATATGTCGTACCGACTGGTAACTTTGGAGATATCTTGGCTGGGTTTTATGCTTTTAAGATGGGTTTACCTATGGGTTCGGAAGATGGAAGCTGTCCTGGATTGGTGATTGCCACTAATGCTAATGATATTTTGACAAGGTTAGTGTTTTTTTTCAGATAATCAGATTTGATCTTCACATCTAATAAGAAACTTTGTCGGCTTTTTTTTGTTTAGGTTTTGGGAAACTGGCGCTTACGAAAAATCGCATGTTGCTTCTACACAACCGAGCGTTGACACTGCTGGCGGGCCTAACCCTACTGAATGTGCTGCAGGAGCATCTGATGGTAAACAAGCCACCTCCGATAGGAATGACAGCAAGAATGGAGGAGTGAAAGAAACTCTAAGTCCGGCGATGGATATTTTAGTTTCTAGTAACTTTGAACGATTACTCTTTTATCTTGCGCTTGATACGTTAGTTTTGAATTATTATTATTTTACATTTGATGATCCTGATCTTCTTAATATCTCATTTATTTCGAATTTATGTCTAACACAGGTTAACGACATCAGAACGATCAGAAGAAGATAAGATTAGAAAAAGTCAAGCACAAGTCAATCAATGGATGCAAGAATTAAAAACCAATGGAAAGTTTGTAGTCCCCACTGAAACCTTACAACTCGCAAAACAAATCTTTGTAGCAGGTAGAGCATCAGATGAAGACACATGTGAAACGATCCGATTACATTTCGAAAGAGAAGGAGATCGATATATTGTGGATCCTCATACGGCTGTTGGATTATTTGTTGCTAAAACCCAAAAATCAGTCAAGTAAATCCAAAATCTAATTCTTTGAAGGATGTACTTTTTTTTTGATTGAACTGACTTGATGGGTTTATTTTTGGAAAACTTGAAGTCCTTTGAATATGATTCAATTGGTTTTAGCAACAGCTCATCCAGCGAAATTTTCAGAAGCCGTTCAAAAAGGAATCAGTGCTTCTAAAGGATTTAATGAATTTGATTTTGAAAAAGATGTTTTACCAAATGAATTTAAAGGGTTATTAGAAAAACCTAAGAAAATCATTGAAGTCAATGGGATTGAAGATTGGAAAACTCAAGAGATTGTGGTTAGAGAAGTTAAGAGATTGTTTGGTGAATCGAATTGATGATTGGTTTGGTTCCAGTGGGTGTAAAGGAAAGGAGATGGTTTTTGGCGAATCATGTAAGGGAGATTTGGTTGGATCTATCTTGGAGAAATATCAAGATGATTTTTAAGGTGTTGATTTCATGTTTTTTCTGGCATTATTTGAACAAGCAAGGGAAATGGGTTTTTCAAATTCCATAGATGTTCTAAGAATTCTGACCATTTTTTTACTTGAAATATCATTGCTGCTATGTGGAATTGGTGTGGTTAGTTTCTGACCAATTTCCAATTTTTGGTTGAAATATGTTTGAAAATGAATGAGTCTGATTGATTGTATTGAGTGTTCTCTGCTACTGCACTACCAACAAAGATGCCTCGGATTGACCAATTTAACCAAAAATGCTTGGATGACAATTGTTTTGGGATCTGCTGTTCATGTGATTGATCCAAGTGGATGTGTTCACAGAAAACCTCAACTTGATCAAATCTCTTCTCTTTAGACCCAAAAGTGACACCAAGACATCCCTGTGACTACCTAATGCACCAACCTGGTCCTGAGAACAGGTCTGGCAACCCAAATTTGGCAAGAGCTGCTAAACAGCCAAACCGCCTATGTATGCATTAAAACACCAGATACATCAAAATCTTTGAAGTGTATGTCTGTCTTTATACATGAGCTTTGTATACCATGCTGGAAGTCCAGTATGCCATTGACTTGACAGATTATTTGAATGCAATTATTTGAAGAAATGATGTCATTTTTTGTGGCATGGTAATCAGCCTAGTACAGGTTTGTTATGCTGGTAGAGAGGGCCCACAGAACCTGAGTGCAGCTCATATTCCACAATCTCACCTTGTATGTATTGACCCTCACAATGTAATGTAATAGTGCCAGTGGCTGTCAAAGTAGACCTGGTTGACCCAGTTGCTTTTGGGTGGTAACTTTGTGTATCAAGTTGACATTTGTTGACAGCTCCTAGCCAAAAAGTCAACTGGGTTTTTTGAAACCAGGTCTACTTTGAGAGTTATCAATGATTCCAGACTTGTGATCCTCAATGAAGTTGGGATTGTAGGACCAGGCTTCTTAGTGAGTCATATGAACAGTTATTCTAGACAATCAAGTATGTTGCACCTAACACAACACTGAAGATACACCCAGTGTGAAATGCAAATGTGACAAGCACTATAAAAGAGAAAAAGAAACTTGCATGCCTACTTATCTTTCTCATGAAGTAATAAATAGTCATGATTGACAAGTATGGAAATGGATGTTACTCAAGTGTATGAGATGATTTTTGGCTGCAAAGTTTTCAAGGTTGAGAAGCGTTGCCCTTTGAAACACAGCTCATTTCCTCAAACTTTTCCAGAAGCCCAGTACATCCCAAGTACATTCTATAAAAAAATTAAAGGTCACACAAGAAGAATAGTATCTTGTCATTGTGGTTTTACCACAAAACCCTCCTAAACCCATCAGCATTTTAGTGCAAGTCAGATCAAACAGGGCTTGCTGGCTTTGCTGGCACTAATTTTGGTGGGCCAGACCTATCAAAACCCATAGATATGGTAGTCTCGCCCTGTCAGGCTCTGATTCCAAGTTACACGACACTTCACCTCGACCTTCCCACCATCCCGGCCCTGGCAGTCACTCACTTCCGAATCTACTCTTGACTGTCGCTCAAGACAGCTCAAGCCTCGGGGAAGTACCCAACAAATATTTGGACGATCTCCGATTTATTAACCTTCAAATTCTAAGCTGTTTCAAACTCTCATCAAAGCATTCGCAAAGTTATTGAAGAAAAACTCGATAATCCATTCGGGATACGGAGTCAGTCGCACTTTTTTCCATACATTGGTTCTTTCGGTTATTAAGAAAACACTTCGGTTAAAAATAAAAAACATCGAATTTTGAAATTTCATAGGATTGGCATGACAAATGGTTGTTCAAAATTCAAATTCCACTTCTCAAGATTCAGTTATGCAACGTAGTACTCGAATACGAAAACCTTCACAGAAAGCTAAAGAAATTGCAGAAGCGATTCAACCCCCAAAATCTCCTCCCGGTCCTGCAAAGTCACACAAAACTGGTCGATCGGCTGTTAAACCTAAATCAATAACAAAACCTAAAAAACGTAAAATCCTGGTCACCGCTAAAGTCAAAGCGGGTGGCAAGAAAGGGAGAGCTGTCGTAGACGCAGATGGAGATGTACAAATTGAAGAGATCGAGTCTCAGCAGTTTCCTACCCACCCAGAAGAGGAGGACGACGACGACGCATTATATTGTATCTGTCTCGGACATGACGATCACACACCTATGATTCAATGCGAGGAATGTGAAAATTGGTACGGCGTTGTTGTCTTGATCTTTTCGTTACTTGTAAAGTGCTTACCATCCATCGGCGGTGTCTTTTTTCTCGCATTCTAGGTTTCACTTTGCCTGCATTCAACTTGATCCTTCTGAAGCATCAGTCATCAAAGCCTTTTATTGCGATGTTTGCGAAGCCAGCGGGTCTGGTAAAACACAAAGTAAGCTTCTCTGCGATATAATCGCCCATCTAAATCATTCTTTCATATCCTTTTGAAGCTTGCCTCATTGCGCATATGTCTCGTGTTACTCTTTCATCTCCATTTCCCTATCGTCCAATTCTTTGCTATTTCGATGGGTTGCCTCTAAACCCGATAAGCTCCAATGGTACTTGATCACAGACAATAGGCTACCTTTGTATTCGAAACACCTACCCGTTTTCGGCTACAAAAGACCGGTCTTTGTTCTTTGTTTTCTTTTCACCCCATCTCATTCCTATGAACCGAGATGTGCTTGGCGCAAATCATGGCCTCAGCGTATACCCTGTGTTGGCTTTGAAATATAGGTTACTTACTGCCGAGGATTTGCAGCCACCTGAAGGCTACGTTTGTGGAGAGGAGTCAAGAGGTTTTGCCTTTTCCTGCTTAGCACCACTGGTGTATCAGTTTGCCCGTCTTATCTGAGGGCTTCTGATTATGTGAAAGCGTGACTGTTTCCAAGTATCTCATGAGGAGGGGATATATGGATCGTTTCACTACACACATAAGGCACACCAGCTCACCTTTCTCACCTGGCTCGATAGCCTGCTTACAATCCCCAATCATATTGCCATCTCCGAACCAGCATAGTGTATCGGAGATCAATGACTAACAATTGTATGTTCCTCGACAGAAATTGATGAGCAAGGTCTCGAGACCGAAGAACTGGAAACATCAGCCGAACCAACCAGCAGCATGAACGAGACTCCAGATGGCGAAGAGATCATCAACAACGATGAACGTCAACACGAAGTCAATGTAACACCTGATCTATCTGGTCCCACTACCTTCATTCCGAGTCCTAAGCTCCAAGAATCGCACTTTGATCCACTTATGCTCGATCCGCTGCTTGCCGGTATTTCTGTTGAGACAGCTTCGCCCCAGAAGGTCTCTCAGGACCCTCTATTGACTACTCCGGCACCCGTGTCTTCCAAGATTTCACGGAAGAAGCATCGGAGAGCAGAGGGGTTAACTAGTGAAGAAGATGATACCGATGAAGATGAGGATTTTACGGGGGAAGAAACAAAACGACCCAATCGTAAGAAACGCAAAGTAAGTTCGAGTGTAGCTTCTTCTTTCCTTCTGGTGATCCAGATGAGACTGGATGCAAATTCTCTCAATCAATTCTTCTTCCTCTTTCACTTACGCTTTTCTGTACCTTCCTTGCTCTAAAAGACTCCCTCAGGCTCTGAACAGCGTCGCCCTAGCAATCTACGACTGAAATCTATCACACCCTCTAGCACTGTACCTCACACACCGAAGAGTGCATCGCCGCCTGTTACCGGCTTAGATAAGACGAGGACAGCTTGTATCGAACAATTTTCCAAGCTTTTTGAAACTGCTTTCTCCGCTAAGCTTAAAGAGCAAGAAGAAAATGCTGAAAACCAGACGAAGGAAATTGAGGCAGAGGCCACACGTTTTGCTGAATCGGTGGAGTCCGAGTTGTTTGATAGCTTTGGTGAAGTTGACGCCAAAAATGTCAAAGCACCCCGCAAACAGTACATGTCCAAATTTAGATCACTCTTCTTTAACCTGAAGCACAATCCTGTGTTCCTCAGTAGCCTGAGGACCACAGAGATCTCACCTCGCTCTATCGTTCATATGTCCAATCAGGACTTACAAACCCCCGAACAAAAGGCAATATCTGATCAGATTCGACAACGAGCTTTGCATGATAGCGTAAGGAATGTGATCTCGGCTCCTAAAGCAAAGATGACACACAAAGGAGAACAGGCCATCGAGACTTTTGACCCCATGGAATCTCAGCAAGCCGAACTCAGTGGTTCTTACTCAGGGAGCTTTGTCCTACCTAATCACCACCAAACAAGTGTGGTTGCGCAGCACGATGTTTCGGCATCTCCTTCCCGAATAACTTCTCAACTTGATGCTAGTCAATCTGCACCGCACTCTCTGTCTGCTTCAACAAATAGTCTCGCCGGTCCTCGATACCAGCGCGATAGCGTAGATCAACCGGACCTTCCAGCGTCGCTGCTCGCCTTTGTCAATCCTACTTCGAATCCCAATGCTCCGGAAAGGACTAATTCTTTCAGTGGTAATAGTTCCTTTGATCTAGAACGTATGTTGGCTGCCATGGCATCAGTACCGCCCTCGAATATCGAAAAAGCTCAAAGTTCAGATCCAGAGGCTGCAACAAAAAGTGCAGAAGACGGTCAAACTGACGACAAAGATCCATCGGAGGAGGACAACATGGATCTCGCAGCCACCCCGGAATACGCTCCCGAAAACAAAAGACCTGATGAAAGTAAAGAAGGACAGCTACCAGATGATTATGATCCGTTTGCGATAGAACATGGAGGAGACGCTGACTTCGATGCGATCTTACATGGCGACCCGTCAACAACTCCTCCCCATAGTCCCATCAATCCCCCACCTACCTTTGTCGTCGAAATTTCTGAACCTGTGCACGCCTCGTCTGTTCCTATAGCTCCGACAATAGATAAACCGCCTCCCGTATGGAAAGGAAATGTGATGACCGCAGATGCAGGTGGCTTTGCTGCTTGTGCTACACAAGTGGGTGGACGACCCCTTTGTACCAATCCAAGTACATGGGAGCGCTTATTTCCCACAGATACTCTTACTGTAGTGGGTCGTCTGCCTGTGAAAGATTCGACCAATTATCTGGTTCAAAGTCACTTTGCTGCCTCTCGAGAGTTGATCGTACTGAATCTAACTCCTAATCTCGATGGTCCTCCCGATCTACCACCTCCCGAGCGAGTTATGCAACACCAGCAAAATCTGATTGATTTTTTTACCAAGAAGGGTCGACATGCTGTTGTGGCTGTTCATGATCGAGCAAAACACGTTGTTAGAGATATTTATTTAGTTCCCTTACTGAAGAAAGAACCTTTGCCTGAATTCGTGGAACTTTTAGATGATCAAAATATCGAGGAGAGTACTCCAAGATCCAGAGATATGATCTTGGCTATCTTGGTATTACAAAAGGGTACCATTCCCACCGGCTGGAGACCACCGACTACACAAATCAGCGAATCTCAAACTGCAACATCGCAAGCTCAAGTATCACAGTTGCCATTTGTCACACAGGGTCCATCTGCTGCTTTGCCATTCCCACCTACTGCCTCCGATCCACAACTCCAGTCTGCTCAACTTTCACATCTCAATACCGCTCTTCCATACCCTCCGCCGCAAGGAAACTTTGCTGCTCTTCCTCCGAACCTAGCCTCAATACCTCTACTGCAATCCTTAAGCTCTGCACTTTCGACTAATCAACAAATCCCTTTCAAACTCTTCCCTCAGACAACTCCGCCAGTCGCACCAACTCAATCCCCATCAAAGGCAACAGGACCACCACCGGGTTTTGTTCCATACAGACCCCCTACGTCTGCTACATCTGTTCAAAGCCCTTCAGCGGCACCTCTGTCCTCGGTACCGTCGTCAGGCAACTTGGGAGATCTGTTAAATGTAGACGTAAACACATTGAAAGCTTTACTTTCGAATCCGCAGGTTTTTTCTAAGCCTCCCGATGGGGTTCCACAACCTATACCTACTTTGGCGCAGAGCAATAATATGATGACGGGGCCACAATACCCATACCCATCTACAGGCTATCCGGGTATGCCTCAGCATCCAATGAGTCTGCCATCTAGTACCGGTGCGCTCGGCCCCAATCCTTATCCTCATGCTCCTATGAATCGGCCTGCTGGCCTACCTCCGATACCGCAAATGAGTCCCACATGGTCCACTCATCGAAAGGAGAGTGGTCGGGACCCTAGAGATTGGAATCCGAGAGGTCCTAGAATGAGTGATCCGACTTTGGACCCTTTTCACGGATCAAGACCTGATAATAGAGCATCAAAAGTGCAAGATCTAGAACGGGCTCGACTTCAGCGAATAGCGCAGATGCAAGAAACCGCTTGGGATCCTGGTATGAATCAACCTAATGGACGATCACCATCACGAGAACCATCAGAACCTGGTCACCGAAGAAGTTTAGGAGGGAGTATCCCAGGAAAACGATCAGGTCCTCATGAGTTTGTTGCACCTGTTAGAGATTCGGGTTGGGCAGGAAGAGGTGGTGGTAGAATAGGTTCTAATGGGAATAGATCAGTTTCTGATCAACAAAATCGTGGTAATAATAATAATTTTCAAAGTGATCAAAATAATCAAGAGCTCGAAAATCAATATAGTGCTCCTATTTGGATGGGTAGATAAGATAGTGCACATCACACCTCAAGATTATTAAATATTTAATGAATTGGTTTCTTCTGTGAAGCAAAATGAGTACATGAATCAGGCAAAGAAGATGAGTTTGTTTTTCTTTTTCTTTATATTTTCATTTTATGTTCATAATGACTCAAGGTTCAGTAATACATACCTGTCATCAACCTATATCTCTTTTTTTGTCTATATAATTATATATATATATATATTTGAGATTATTTTAGTAGTAGTATGATTTATATACATTGTTGATATTCCATCTATAATCATCAATGTGATAAAAAATGTGGGAATAAAAATGATCACGATTAGGTAGATACATATTGATTTGGATTTAGTAATGATATCAGGTCTGTTGGTGTTGTTCAAGTTTCATCCTTTTTAAACCAAAGCTTTTGTTTTTCAGTCACAGTGAGTTGAGGTGGTGCTACTGAGATAAGTGTGAGTTTCGAGTTGGGGCGTTTGAATCCCAGCCCAAGCCAAGAATGCCCTCAAATCAATCTAATGTGAGAAGGTTTTTGCGTGGTATATCTTACATATTCACAAACGGCCAATCATATTGGGTGATTGCATCACTCGGATGCTTCGCTTTTTGGGATAGCTGATATAGCTGATATCTCTCATGGTCATTGCTCGGCCTTGAATTGGATTAATTTGTGCGTTAAAATTACAAAGATATCGAATACAATTTGATAGACCCATACTTCAGATAAGGATATGATAACGCGATTGTGAATATATGTAGATTGTTATAAATGATTGAGAATATCTCGTTAAGCTGATCATCACTAGAGACAATGATCATGAGTTGATTTTTTTGTACTCGCTTTCAATGAGCTTGATGAAGTCAGCAGGAGTATGACCTGAAGGACATTGCTTCCAACTTGAATCATGCATACAGATCATTCGACGATCTAAAGAAAGGTATCAATTAGTATTTGTACGGACCAGTGAGAAAGAAATGAATGGTATCTCAACTGATATAAATCGAGCAACTCTTCAGAACAGGTAAGAGTAATGCTTCTCTAACACTTGCATGTAATAAGTCAAGACCTTCATCTCCTTCTACGCAACCTTGAATTTCATCCCAATCATGACCATTTAATTTTGCGCATGATCTTGCAAGATCTTCATCACCCACTCGAGCTAGTCCAGCGTAATTTTGACATTGAATGAAAGACCACCTAATAGAATTAAGGAAGAGTGAGTAAAGTTTTGAAGCATTGAGATGAGGAGAATATTCGAAATTAACCAGTGTTGCAGGATTGGATGATGAGCGCGGTAACATAGTTGTTGAATATTGGCACGACATTCCATTGGACCGTGTCGACATCGAACACCATATTGTTCCGATTCATCAAAACTATCAATTGAACGTTGAAAGAAAACAAAAGTTGAAAACTGATCAGATTCAAAAAAACCAAGAAGACTTTAGTAAGGTTGCTTACTTGCCCATGTAAACCATTGTGAGATCTACTTTCTTTGACACTTCTGTTAACACTCGATCAAATATATCCTCACAAACTGAGATTTTCATAAATCAGTACCGTCTAAATGAGTCGTAAAGTAATATTGATATTTCGGTTGAATGCCCTTTGGACTCACTTTGAGCATCTGGACATTTACTCATGACTCCTAAAGCGACAGGGATAAGACTTTTTGCGGGAGTGGTACTTGTGCTGATACCATTAGATTGAAAAGGCAGTTGACCAGATGGATAAGGACTGGTGAGTCTATTCGGTTGCGGTTGAGAGAAAGCTTGCTCGATCAGACTCAAGTAAACCGAAATGAAAAGCAACGTTGTTATCATGTTGGATTATGTTGAGGGATATAAATTGACAAGTTGATCGAAGGAGGTTCAGAGTGAAATGAGAAGAGTGATGCTGGTAAATCACTTTCTGCCAAGTACATAACTGACCAACCCCTTACCCTTCCTTACCCTTAAAGAGAAATAGGCGCACCCAAAATCGCGTGAATTTCCTTGGTGGATCCCATGTTTTCTTCAACTCACAACCAAAAAGAATGCATCCTCGGCCCGCGTGGTTCCTGGAACGTTTTCAGAACTTCGTGCCCAGAACCGACAAGGAACGTGTTTGGTCACCGAAACACCATTTCAGTCTCGGAAACCGGGTCCACCTCCATCTCCACCACGATTCAGCAACGCTCCGGATGTCAGACACCGGAGGAGATCAGTGACTGACAAGGGGTGGAAACGGTTATTTCGACGCTGTTTGCAAACGGTAACCATATGTCACTTATATGAACAAACAATGTGTGCATACGGTCACCGCGGTCGGTCGCGCAACAGGTTGCCGTGTGGCACGTATATATCAGATATTCCTTCCACAGTCTTGGAAAGGAATATAAAAAGGCCGAGTGGCCACTTTGGTTTGGTGACAATCGCGCTGATTATTACAACACTTTATAAAGCTATAAAAACCACACTCTAACAGTCAATGGAAGTCCCAATTACACGCTTTAACAATCATAGTTCCATGTATTGAATTTTTAACTGTAACTCCTGCTGGTCATCACAAAGTACTCAAGAGTTTTGGTCACAATTGCATGCTATGAGCGCAATACTTCTATATTCAAATAAACTTTCGGTGCAGATCAATCAATTTCATCATCTACTTTTCTGGTCTGATTTCTTCATAAGCATGACAAAAGACACGGAGGAGGATCCTAAATCATGTGAGTTCTGTACTTACTTCTGCAACACCTGGGAGATGAGCTGATGACCGCAATCTCTTACTCTTTTAATCAAATGCTGGCGTCAATGTTACTCACTATGGCTGCAAACTTTGCGGGGATCAGGCAATGATGAAATCAAAACCCAAATGAAGTCTTATGTATCATCAAATGGTCAGATCACCAATGTGTAACTCAAAGTAGCTCAAATTCCTTTGTCCAACCCGCGGAGAACTAAAGCACAGGGGAAATTGTCAGACATGTCACCTTAACTATGTATAGTGATGACACCTCTGGTTCAAATTTGAAGAGATTTGATAAACACAAGTGTTATTACTTTACCTATTCCGGTCTGCCTTCAAAATTGGCCAACTTGGAGTAAAGTATACATTGGCTTGCTGAGTCAACAACTGCACATGCTTTGGATTGGGATGACAATATAATAGATCAGCTGTAGTGAGTGCTTCTGCAAAACTTATTCTCCTGGTTAATCTCTAGAAGTGTGCTTGTGTTTGTTATCTTCGGACAGCTTCTTGTCACAGGACAGATCATTTGTGTATGATGCTGGCACACTTGGGGGACTCCCCAATGCACACAGAGATAACAAATACCAATAATTCAGGAACCAGCTTGCACCCTTTTTGAATATGTCATCTTGGAGTGGATTCCAAGGCCTTGAAGCAGGAAGAGGAGTTCATCTGCTCTCTTGCAGGAATCAACTCTGAGGAAAAAATGGTACTTTTTTTCCTTTTGAAAGGGTGCAAGCTGGTTCCAGGGTTGTTGGTATTTGTTACCTCTGCATGCATTGGTGAGTCCCATAGAGCTGCTACCATCAATACATCCTTTTTGATGCCAGCATCATACACAAATGATCCCTCTTGTGACAAGAAGCCGTCCAAGAATCACAAACACAAAGGCACTTTTGAAGATTAAACAGAGGGATATGTATTGCACAAGTACTCACTTCAGCTGATCTATTATATTGTCACCCATTTCCAAAGCATGTGCAGTTGTGGAAGCAGCAAGTCAATGTATATTGTACTCCAAGGTGGCCAATTTTGAATGCATACCAGAATAAGTAAAGTAATAGCACATGTGTTTATTAAATCTCTTTGAAATAAAACCAGAGGTGTCATCACTGTACATAGTTACGGGGACATGTTGGACAATTTTCCCCTGTGCTTTAGTTTCCCACGGGTTGGGCTAATGGATCTGGGTTACACATTGGTGAGCGGACCATTCTGTGATACATAACTAGATTAGTGTAACTACAATTTGATGAATAGACTATAAATTTACCTGTGGTATAGAGTGTTCCCATAATGATCCTTTAAATGACCACAATTTGGTAGAAGTATTTCCTCAAATGTATTCCAAGATCCCTAATTTCAAAGTCTCCCACCTCATTGTTGCCAAATGTTTCCTCCTTCAAGTGACCACAATCTGGACAGAGATCCCAATTGTTGTGGGGTCTTAGACAATGAACCACAGAATACCCATGACCGCACGGGATCAGAGGTGAATGAGGCCAGGTTTTGTCTTGATGATGGTTTTTTCGACTTATATTCAGTTTCCAACATGATAAGAACTATTGGTGATTCATCTGGACTCAGTACAACTGAACAGCTCAATGCTGATCAAAACTTTCAGGTAATTATCAATGTTGTAAGCTTTTGATATTGATATTGATCACATATTCTCTGTGTTGTAGCAACCAAAAATTGTATCATATGAGGTAGCAACAGTGTGTTTTTTTGCTCACAGTTTGCTAAAATTGAAAAAAAATCTTGAAAAATTGGTAGCTACCTCCACCACCAGAAATATACAACATCAACTAGAAATTGAAAATGATAACTGGAAAGGGAAAAACAGTGTGGGATTAAGTAAAACAACTTATAATACACATCTCAACTTGCTTGCATGATCTTTGCAGGGTTTCATCAGGATTAAATCAAAGAATCCCTGTTAGGTAGTCCCATACAGGCATGTGCGACTAAGTTCACAACTTCCAGAAACCCAATCCTTGACTCACACCATGTCTGTATCCCTGTAGGAAATTGACGTGCAACCATGGAGAGTTTCCAAAGAAATCTGGAAGAACTTTTCTCAAGCTCAATTGAACTTGTGGATCACCTTTATGCACACAACCTCTGTTGGAACTCAATTGCCCATGTTTCAACAACCCACTTAATAAAGGCCAAGCCTTAAGACCTCTTTTGAGGCTCTTGCAAGTTTCTATCAAAATTCTTTTGTGTGTGCATGTTGGGGTGTCACATGAATACAGACATGGTGTCACTTAATGATCACGTTGTGGCACATTTGTTTCAAGTGTGTTTTCCACCTAGACTGATTACTTACACAAAACATCACAAGATACCACTGAAGGACCAAATTAAGGTTCCAGACCACAATCTGCCTGGAGACAGTGATCCAATGGTGAACACACAAGTGCAAAAGGTTATTAAGAACATATCAAAGCTGGAGTGGTGTAAGTTTCAAAATCTAGTGAGTTATTTTTCATTGTGAAGAATTATATTTCTACCACATTTAAGTCTGGTCAAACTGTATATCAAGCAGATCCTTATCAATATCAAGGAACCTCCCATAAATTTCAAAGCACCCACAATTTTCAAGTTGTTATTTGAACTGATTCAAAATCAAGCTATGACTTATTGGAAAACCCACCAAGAAATCTCACAGTGTGCAAACTCAAGTGTCATGTCAATACACTCAAGTCTCACACAAAAGCCATCTTGTAGAGAGTGGATCCCAGCTTCAGATAAGCGTAATTGTTATGCACAGACAGTCCTTTCTTGAGTCCCTCAGGTGGTGACACCATTAAACATAGGAAGTCTGATCTCTCTTTTGGAGACTGAAGAGGTGCTGGCATTTCACCAAAGTCTTACAGATAGACTGAATATTTTTTCATTTTTTCCCAAACCCCTCTGTGCGTGCACATTGATGTGCCATAGTAAAATGGACTCTGTGTATGGTACAACACCTCCATCACGGATAAATCCAGGCTTGCCCTTTTGGAAAGATTTTTGAAGACAACTGGACCCATTCATAGACTGACCCTGCTCATCATACACTTGTTACAGTGTAATGTAGTGTCCAGAAGTCACATTGTTTCTCCTTCAACCAAAGGACTCTACCCAGCAAAAAGATGGACCCATGAAGAACAATAGTGGTCAATTGACATGAAACAGTTAAAAAGTGTCTTACTTGGATCTGGAGTCTCAACACTGAGCACCAAAAGTTGTAAGCTGCTTCTCCCCACATTTTTATTCAACACCAAGCTCATTTGAATAGTAGGTTTTGTTTAGCAATGAAGTATGCATCAAAATGCCACAATCTTCACCCAAAATGAAACCTCTGAAAAAATCAATTAACAAGGGAACATTCATATCCTCACCCCAGATAAGTTTGGCAAGTGTATCATAGAAGGATGTCTCTTTCATTTATTGAAATAATGCATATGTATAATTTCTTTACCAATTTTTCATTCAATTTCATCATTTTAAATCATTCATCTGGTTTTAGTGATCTTGAATCATTTTAAATAATCTAGTTTATTGGTTCTTTCAAAACAAACTACCACATCCAACTCCAATCTACCTATTTACAGTAGACTCTCACCTCCAACAAAATTGGGTCGCATCGTGGTATGCGCGTTCACGTCGCAGGGTGAGATGCGATGTGACATCGCACATGTGCCAGGCGATGAAAAGCCTGTGCGATGTGACATCGCACAGATTTCACGCGATGCAACCTGTGATATCGCATACTTGTTTGTGATTTGACTCAAATGCGATTTCACATCGCGTCAACTCAGCGTGAGCTCATCCTCAACCGATACAAGATCGCATCAGCACAACGCGACGTGATCCTCGCGCGATTCAGCTTCGCTGCGCCTGTATGTGACTCAACCCTCCATGCGAATTAATCGATTGAATCGCTGGAAAACCATCCGAGGGAATCGTCAACTCGCTTGATCTAACTGCGATTCAACATCACATTCCTTGGTGCGACTCAATCCCACAACTTTCTGTCGCCTTCTCCCATCCGAAGTAATCCCACGGAGTCAATGCGGTTACAGGAGAGGTTGATGCAGAGGACAGGTGGTGGGATGATTATTGGGTTGAGAAGGTAAGGCTCATGCCTGACAGCTCCGAGCGAGTGGTGTCATTCGTTGACTTAGACCAAACAATGGTGGCGATGTATGGACGCATCTTAACTTGCTCATTGGATCCGTCGCCCAGCATGCTTCCCGAGAAGACATCAAAGAACTGCAAGTTGTCTACCAACACTTGACTGTAAGAACATGAAAAAAGGTGGAGTAGTGGCAGTCAAAGGATAAAAACGAATTATCAAGGACATGGCAGATCAGTACGAATTCTTTCGAAGGCTTCTCCTCATCCGGAATCAATTGGCTCCTAAGCGACGAGTTGATCAAGAAAATGTCTCTTGCTCTGGCTAACTTTGACATGCATTCAGACAATGCGTCGTCAGCCTGGAGGTCAAAAAGTGAAGATTGTGTCAGCTACTCCTGGATGGAGCAACCTCGTGTGCTAGGTGATTTTGGACGAACCTACCATTTATCTTGATTGAGCGTCACTCGCCTGGTTGATCAAGTCATTGAGAACGCTCAAAGGTGACGTCTTGCTATTTACTCACAATTTAAGTTATTTTCCTACCCCTTAGATTCAAATTTCACTAACAGAGCCCTATATATTTCCGACCTCAGCAGAAATCTTTGAAATCAATATGTTCTGAAGTTTGGGGAATGAGAGATCTTGAAGCCTCTGGTCACGACTGGATCAAAGGACAAGGATCGGGTCCTTCCTACATGACTTGGCATTGATTCTTTTCGGTTACTCGGTTGCTACACTTCTGATCCCTTCATTCCTGTTTCCTGCACTCTGCTTGTCACCTTCGTCACCTGCAATCGATAATTAATAACGTGAGAATGAATCGGAGTGCAGCAATGGTTTGCCACACACCTTGCATTGTGAATTTGGTGTGATGTTCAGGCATGATATATGACATCCCTTTGTGTTCAATCTATAGAATACTATGCATGGCTTATATGATTTAAGAATAAGTGGTACAACTTTTGTCGATGTCTCCAACTTTTTGCCCCGTAATCTTGGCCCCTGTTGATGGAGGAAGCTAGTAGGTCGACAGATTTCTTTATTTGACGGACTTGTCAATGACAAGGATTGGTGCATGAAACTGGTTCAACAAACTAGAATATTCAACGCAATATAGCAATAAAGCTGATGATTTAACGGTAAGTTTTTTCTATTTGATTACCCATCTCTTTTGAGATTTAATAACATGTTGGTTTAGCAAAACTCCTGCATCTTGGTGTAATACGCAATTGCACGCCTTCGCCACAACCTAAGTGGAACTGAAGGTGTTATGCAAACATGCAATAGTAGAATGTAGAAAACAATTGAACATATTTTCAAATCATAGACAATCAAAACAAGGGGAGCATCAAGAGAAACCAATATTGAGTGAACAAGAACATAATGGTAAAATAGAAATGACCAGAAAAAATTTCTGGGCAGGAGAAGGAAAAATAATAATAATAAATATAAACACTATGATAACATTGTTGAAACTCTTTTAATCTTCAATCTAGTAGTGCCGAAACACCCTGCAACGCTGCTGGCTTCATTTTGAGGGCCTTACGCTCTTTTGCATTGAGGCTAGCAAGCCATCTGGAATCATAGCAATCACTTGGAAGACCTACTGGCCATTTTGAGGAGCCTACAACTGGCGCGGTTTGTGATGTCTTACGCTTTGCTGGTTTTCTTCCAGGGCGCTTGGGAACTTCTTCTTGTCTTAATTGAAGATACGTACCATCGATGTACTCCACCAGGGCAGTTCCTAGCCGGCTCCGCCATAATGGAATATCCCGCACCCGATCCTGTTCCATGACCTCATCATCAGATTCGTCAGACGAACAGTACCGACGATCTAGGAACAGATCCTGGTAAACATTCAAATCTTCGTAATTTAGACAAGCTTCATGACGTCTATCTGCAAGCTGAAAGTACGTTCACGGCCTCAGTGTTGTGGTGATGGGCATGCACACAAGAAAACATTACATACGTTCATGGCTCGCTTTGCCCGGCGGTCTTCCTTCATATGTTTTTGTAAGTTAGTATTATCTTTCAAAAATATTCGTTTGTTGTTGATACAATATTTCAGATGAGTCGCCACTAGCTCTCTGATTCTATCTACATCAAGCTCTTCGCGATCTACTCGGTATAAGTCGTCGTACTCTAGACCATCCACTGCACAGTTGAATGTGTCTAAGCAAAACTCCAACGTCCGTCGATTCCATTCGTCAGCTTTTGGGTTATGTCTTGCAGAGCTCAAACCAACGTAGGGAATGCCATATTGTCTGAGTCTTTGTTCACAACGATTTCGAAAGCCCTCGCCCATTGTGTCATCCTCAACCCATTCTTGCGAGAGCTGATCAGCTCTGAGGAGGAATGCTGCTGATAGACCCAGGGGTGCGGTGCCATCAGGAAGGTCCGGTAACGCTTCCAGATCTTCAAAAGTTGGGGATCTGGGGAAGGAGTGTTTTAGCCGGCCAACTCCCGCAAGGTATCGAAAATGCTGCTGAATAGCTCTAGACTTTTCAAGCCAGGTACAATGTTAGCTTATTCAAGTACGGCCTGATTCAAACTGATGAGCTTACTGTATTTTGATCATCATCCTTGTTCTCTGGGGTCATTGTGTCCCTTTGTTTCCTTAAACTCGTTGTAGGGTCATTTTGTGAAGTTTTGGAAGGTCGGAGCCATAACTTCGGTTTGGCGGTCGGATTGACTTGACGCCTTTGTTGAGTCGGGGTGCAAGCAACGTCGATAGGTGTAGACCGATTATTGGGAGTCGATGGAGGACGGGCGTTGGCCATCTAGGTGAAGATATTTCTTTCAGTAAAGCATCTACATCCGCAGTATAATGTGCATTCCTGATATCCTTCTGAGGGGAGCAGGGAACATACCCTCGGTTCAGAAAATACATTTGTATTTTGCCGATTCGGTATCGGACGTCCCCTTTCCATATTTGCTGTCTGGTGTACCCAACCTGAATTGCTACCAGTCATAGAAGCTTGAGACTAAGCATGAAGTACGATTTGAGTTGGTGAACACACGATCCTGACTGTATATGAATTTTCAACTCACCCCTTGGCGTGATTCGGCTCTGAACAATGGCAGTTGCGTCCGTGAACTCGAGTCAGATTGATTGTCAATTTCCATCAAGTTTTCAGGTGTCGCATCAGGAGCCATTGCCATGGGACTTGAAATATCAGGAGGCTGATCAATCAAACATGTCAGATAATCATCCATTTACAAGCGGGGAAAGCCAACGAGAAATTTGACTTACTGTGATGAACCTGGTTGGTGAGCAGCTTGTGTTGTTTGAGCTTATGGAACTTGAAGACTCATTGATCTCCTCCGTCAAGGTCGGATCAGACGAATTGAGAGTTAATCCAATTGATTTTGGGCTAGTCGGAGGCTGAAAATGAGAGGAAAGTGTCAGTAATCCATATAAAATGATGGTAAGCCACTGAGAAAGGTGACCGACTAAGATTGAGATGGCTGATGTGGATGCTGAAGCTTCCAATCTTCTCGGCAGATTCTGAATGGTGTTGATACATGAAGCCTCAGTTCACTTGGTAGAGAAGTCTCTGATATTTAATTCTTCACCTACACAGTCGTATTCTCTCTTCTCCAGACTCAGCATTCTGCTTTCAAATGAGTCTTGCTGGCAAATCATCTGTTGATATGATCGATCTAAGCGCTCTTGGCTAAGTTGAACCCTACTTTCAAAGTCTTTCTGGGTTTTCGTGATTGCCTGTAGAAATGAAAGGAAGAATTTCAGTTCGAGTTCGCAAAGAATCAAGAGGTGCTATTATTGAGATCTACCTCCAGCGTCTGTAATAGGTTTGACTGTGCCAAGATTAAGCTCTGTTTGGATAGGATAGTCAGCAATTCTGAAAATCCATCTTCATGAAAGGAAACAGAGATATACCCGCATGTCCGAATCGTGTTTATCAGAGGACTCGGTTATGGTAAGTTCTGAATGAGAGCTACTTGAGCTTGGGAGTTCGTGGATGCTGTTGACGCGACGTTCAAGGCTGGTTATACTCTCTGTCAGGGATAGTCTTCCGTTCTCCAAAGATTCAACTTGCTCTTCTGAAAACTGAAGCTTTTTGCAAAAGTTGGCTTGATTGAGTTGCACCCTCGCCTCGATGTCTCTTATCGTTGTTTGATGCGTATCGTAAGATTTCGCAAGATCTTCATTTGCTCTAGCACATTCCTGTTGAACCCAAAGAAACTGGTCAACTCTGGGTTTCCTGTATCAGGAGTTGTTGGTGACTAACATCGATTTTTTGGAGGCATGTTCTTTCGGTCGAAATTGTGGCCTGATATTGAGCAAAAATTGAACAACGATAACTAAGTAAGCTAGCACTATCTAGAACTTAGCATCATGGATAGAGGCAAAAAAACGTACGGTTCTGTTAGACTCAATTTGTGTATGCAAAACATCTTCCAACTTTTTGAGTTCTCCAGAGCAGTTGAGGTGGGCATTTTCCACCTTCTGTTGCATCAATATGAGCTCGTTGTTCAGTCGCGCCTGGTCATTTTTTAACTGCTGGTCGCAGGAATCCAAGCGTTGCAGCTCTGTGTGCGTAGACTCCTTTTGTTCTTCATAGTGGTGGAGGTCATTCGAGACCTTGGACTCAACCAATTTGAAGCTGTTGTGTAGTCGTACCTGGTCGTCTTTCAACTGTCGGTTGCAGGAATCCAAGCGTTGCAACTCGCCTTGTGTTGCTAGCTCAGCCTAATAAGATGCATGCGTTTTCATCAGATGGGCCATAAAGGTTTACAGTTGCAGTTGAAAGTCTTACAGATTTTTGCGCATCCAACTTGAAGTCAATTGCATCAAGCCTAGCATCCAACACATTTACGGACTGGTTTTTACAGCACACATTGAGTGTAGTTACCGCATCAGCAGCTCATATTTTCTCAAAGAATGAGAGTTGAAAACGTACCGAGGCCTGGTCACGAATCTGGGAGCTCGCCCCTTCAACATCATCACACAGCTGAGCAACGCTTCCTTTCATGCTGGCCAGCTGGCTTTCAAGATCTGTGAGTGAGTTGAGCCGATCTTCCAGTTTTTTCTCCTGCTCATTCAAAACAAACGTCGTGATATCATGAGCATGCGACATGGCGTGATGGATTTCACGAATACACGCAACTATACCAGTATTGTGAATCTGTTCCCGTAACGCAATGGGACTTCTTAATAACTCGGAAAACTTCTCCTCGTGCGAGCTGAACAAGTTACGAAGACTCTGTACCAGTGACATCGGAAATTTCAAATCAACAATGGCTCAGGCCGGTTGAAGACGCAGGTTGTTAAAGTGATACTGACTGTGACTTCCGTTCTGTCAGGCTGAAAAATACAACATCGCTCCGTAAACAACGGGAAGAAGAAGGTGATAGGGTATTGCTTTCATGAGGACAGACCAATGATTCAAGATGAGCTTTGTGTTGCATATATGACATTTCAAATTTGGCCTAGTGATCAATCAATGTGAAGTTATTTATGGATATCATCAAGGAAGCCGCCAAACGAGATACAAATTGCTTACTTCTAAGTCAACAATACTTTGTCGTATAGCCTCTGTACTCTCGTGGACGTCTTGAATATTGCCAACCATAACCTACAAAGCATGTTTGTCAGATTGACTCAAGCGCATCAATTTCAAGCCAATCGACTTGCTCACCTTGAGATCGTTTAGTAGAGAATTAAGCTTCATCACATCATTTGAGCTTGCCATGCCGAATTTAGAATTTGAACGTAGAAGAGTGCACTTAGATCTGAAGGATATCGCGGGCAAATATAACAGAGATCGAAATCGTAATGAATTATATTGTGGAATTGAAAAATGTAAGATCTTACGGAGGAAGTTGATTGATCTGGGATCTGGGGATGGCTTTAACGGTGGAATAAATCTAGATGCGTGTACCTTGAGCTGCGCAGAAAGCCCTTTGTTCTGAACTCAACATCACCCTTATGCAGCATCAAAGGAAGACGCCGAAGGGAATTTGAATCTAGGCCGACTCTGCATACTGGATGCTTCAGCTTAGGTAGTTCAGGGGCTTTGTTAAGCTAATCAGGGGGGGCACCTAAGTTTTAACCACCAACACTCACGCGGACAAAGAAGCACTTAGCTTAACAAAGCCCCATTTGCGCGTCCGCGTCCGCGTGTTAAGCTAAAAGATCAAGCACCCTGCTCACTATTAACTAAGCGCCTTTACCAACTCTTCGATTCAGCTTCGTCTTTGTCTTTCTCAGCTCAAGAGAAATATTGAGCCGAATGATGAGCAGTAATAGTACTCCTCGCTGGTGTACTCCTTGCTAATTTACATCAACGGTTACGCGGGAGTAGATAAATGCGCGGTGGCACATTGGCTGTCATCTTGATTCTGAGAAGCCTCTACCACAAATTCACCTTAAATATATAGTTTCCTGGGCAAGACTCGTCGCCGCTATCATGAATAAACCCAGCTCCTCCGGTGCTTTTCTCATTCAAGATATCCTTCAAAAAATCCAAGATGTAGAGGTGGCATTCCAGTCGGAACACATCGTCGGTCAGTAATTCTCATATATTTTCAATGACTGTTTCCAAAAGCCAACACATCATTTGTTTTGATTCTTATTCAAGATGATATACCACAGCTGAGGTGCTCTAAAAACAACAAGAATTTTCGTGATCTCAATGCTGTAAAACATCAAGACTCAATTCCGTTTCTTGAAGCATTGCATGAATCAGTAATGTCTAATGGTAAGTAGACACTTTTTCAGTGGATCCACAAGCTTGTGTTATATCCCACTCTGAAAAACTTGAATGTTATACCTAGAGAACCCAGTACCTTTGGACCATGTGAATACAACTTGTCAAACCACTCAGTCTTCTCTTCTCAAAAGCTGCACAAAAGAAAACCAACACCCTGGTAAGCTATTCCAGAAGCTTTGGATTGATGGGTGGAAAGCTAGCTGATATCTGCTTCAGTTAACTCTAGTTTTTTTATGATTCCACTACTTATTTTGCTTATTGGTATAACTATATTCGCTTACCATCAGCTTACCACTCCGTGGGAATTTGAACAAATAGGTATTTATATTGATATGATCTAGTTGTCTGGTCAAAGGAAATTATATAGGTCTCAGGGGCGTCATATTCTATTAAATTCTTGCTAAAGTGGATTGCAATCTCTGAGGTGGTGTTCCCTAGGTTCACATTTCAATATTGATGAGTCGACTCAAATGCCACTGTATTTACGTTTTTCTTGGGTATATCCATACATAAGATATGTTGTCACCGCTAAGACTACAAGTTAAGTGTAATGGCCTGACTTGCATTTAAGAAATCTTTATAACATGAAATTATTCAGAATCCGGATTCTCAAGAATTGTTTTGCGCTAGAATTTCCTCAAATGAAAAGTATATTTCTAAGAACAAATGGTGCCTAGTATAACAAAGTGTTTCGATGAGAACGCGAAACCCATAACTCAAATGAAGTAGGTTACCGCATATAAAGCTATCAAAAGAGTTTGAAACAAGGATACGCAGAAGTGACCCGGTGCAATCATCTGGAACCAATCTTCAAAACGGTTGCGGCAAACAACACATGCACCTTCCCAGGCCGCCGGAATTCGTGAGTGCCAGTTTGAAAGGTCGCATATGGGTGAAATTCCAGCGTCGGGGAATCTTTCGCAAGTCCAAATGACCGATAGAGCCAGTACCACCAGGCACTAAAGCGCCAGAGACCAAGGCCGAAACTCTTGAGTTGGCTAGCAAATGCAAAAAGAGTTTGAAACATTCAAGATTTGTAATAAAAACATGATAAGATATTTGACTCACCGCCAAACTCTGCTCTCTTCAGCTCACATAGACAAGATTGTGAGGATGCCCCGTTGTAATTGTGACGGCTTAGACATCGGTGACAGTTCCTGGTCAGGTTGGCATCGGCTATTAGGAATACGTTGACAGGTCCAAGTCAATACAAGCCGCTTCTTGAGAATTTAGACATGAATTGTCTCACCACTAGGTACAGAACCTGAAGCATGCATGGATGGAGCTCTCCCTACCAGAATTGTACGAGCTGAAAGGCGAAACAGAGAGGTAAGCATGTGGGTCATTGGATGAAAATTTTCTCTCAGAGCCCTGTCGTAAAGAACTCACAGTTTCGTGGGGGGTCAAGGCACATAGGAAGGCTCTTTCCATCTTGGAAGCCTGGCTTCGTGTTCAAACTGGTCTCACCCGACTGGGCGATGGCTGCTTTAGATGATCCCGTTTTTCCATTCTTGTTGCTCATTGTGATTCGTGTTCGTGAATAGATGGTGATACAGTTGAGTGACGCGATTTGGGCCCAGTCAGTGAGTGTTTCTCCCCCTTTGATACAGAACTTCATATCATCCCAGCTGCAAATCTTCCGGGCAAAAAACACCTACGTTTTGTCCGGTGAAATAAAACTTAACTAAGTCCAAACTTTCACAGGGTTAATAGATAACAAGTCATCATCAGGGATCTCCGAGTAATCCCGTGTTTCTCACTTGCTCTTACAATCCTGTGTTGGAAAAAATTGCGTCAAGTGCTTGCTTCTTCAAACCTACATAAGTTGCGAGGATGAAGGACTTGGTTCAGTTTGCTGTTTCTTGTCTATCTTCCATATTTTTCAAGTCAAAATGTATGATTAAGCCGTGAACCATTGACTGAATCGTCCAATTCACTGATGATATCCACCGCGTCAGAATGAGTCTTCAATGGTATGAACAGGATGAGCATGTGAGGTGATGAGTTTTGAAGAACTTTCTGTTTCTTGATTTCTTGATTTCTTGAGTTAAGTTTGCTTCTGCTTCAACGTTGTCCATCTTTCCTTTTATTTCTTGATGTTTACTGTCTGTTTAGTACAGGTATGATATCATAGGGCGCGAAGATAAATTCAAAGATATACAAATATATCAAAAAACAGAACGACTAGGCAAAGTCTTAAAAGAAAGTCATATGTAGGCTGTTTACTTACCACTTTTTCGCATCCAAGTCCCATTGTGTTCACAATCGTCCAATTCCATTTGTCCGGTTTTATCGTCTTTTTCACGCCCACCCACCCCTGCTCCCGGGTTTGTTCTTTCAATTTGTGTTTTGTTCCGTTTAGCGCTAGTATATTTTTTAAAAACAAAGCAAAGGAGTTTAAGTTTAATTTCTTCTATTGTTGTGGTTTTACTCTGGTTCTTTGCGTGTTTAATTTATTTTTTGTTTTGTCTCTAGTTTTTTTTTTTGTTTTCATCTTTCAATTGTTTGGCTGAGTTATCAAGATTATGTTTTCTATTTTCTTTGTCTGGTGTGTAGTAGTAGTCTTTTTCAAAAGAAATTAAGTACTAGTAGTCTCGAAAACTGAATGGATTGATTACGTTCACATCACGAAGTGATTTTTATATAATTAGGTTGTACAAGTAAAACTTTTGTTATACTCAAAGCTAAAAGAATCGTTGTCTGAAGGAAGAAGCACTGAAGCTTTGGTTTTTTGACACCTTATGGTCATCTCACAGGAAAAGGTTATACCAACACTGATATGTTTGTAGTTCGGAGGGCTTGAAAAGGCCCTGCCCGCTCAAAGAATGCATTTCTTGACTATTCTTTACGTGAGGCGTATCTAAACGTACAAACAGTGCCGCCAACCCACCCTGTGTCTCTCAGTTTCGATGTTCCCCATTTCCTCTGCTCCCTCGACTGTTTTTGTTCTTGGTGCCATTACTTCTGGGGAGTTTTTTCTCTCATAGCTATCTCTTTATCTTGTGGTCTCAAGTTGTCAGAAACATTGACTTTCCAAGATAATCCGTACAAAATAAAAGCTAAAATTCAAATTCAAAACAGATGATGGAGACTCAATGAATTTTCATCGCTTTACAATTTATAATACATGACTTCAGGTGTGACATGAAAACGTAAAATTCTAGAAGTTGAAGAATTGTGAATGTGAGGATATGTTTGGTTGCTAACTTGCGACTTTCGAGATACCACTGATATTGGTGCCTTCTTCATTCGTAATCAAGTGAGTTACGACTTGTTGTAGCATATGTTGAAGGGAGCTTATTCTGTACATAATGTTGCACATATAAGAATTCTATGTCAGATTTGCATGCACTCTCATACTCTACGAGTCAGGCTGGCTAGCAGAAGAGACAGACCTTCGTTGACCAGGGCACGCCAAAACTCTCCGCCTTCTCTTCGGATCGTGGACCACATGGGAAGTTGCCATACATAGCGTAGTATGACTGACCCTAATATTGCCCCCATCAGCCAATTCGTACCAAACGATAGTCGCTCACAAAATCCGTGTTTAGGCTGGAAGCCGAGAGGTTGAAAGATATCTTCTTTGGCGAAAGAGCAGATCTTGGATTGGTAATGATATGGCGCTTGAGATAGATGATCATACCAGGAAGCATAGACCACATTTTGTGCGAGGTGAACCCAGAACGTTATGTTTCGACAAAGGCGGATGAAAGGGTCATACGCTTCAAAGACTATCCAAGCAGAGTATATGGGTAGCAGATGACGCAAGAGGCCACGGTAGATGGAAAAGCTGGCCATGATATGTTAGGTAGGTTTATGTGGAAACTTGGGTTTGGGGAAGAGGAAATTGATTGATACTATCGATTGATACCATTTGAGTAGAACTTAAATACCCGTCCTTCGAGCACAAGAACCACTGCGCCTGACTATGCTGTCTGTCTTTGGTACTTGCCCCGGGATGAGCGTACTGACCGAATGAACATTGATCAGTTAGTCCCTTTCATTGTTGGGTACGATTACTCAACTCTGAGTTACTGATACTGACATAAGGATAAGCGGATACACAACGCTTCTGATTGGTGTTTTGTGAATGAAGTTTTGAGATCCGGAGCGTATGGTGCGGTGGAGCTAGGTACTTCTCAGGACTGGCCATGCGTGCATGGGGGGTATCAGGTCTCGACTTGTAGTTTTCAAATTTAACGTAAACTGACGCTGCAACACAAAAGTTTTGTATGGTCAAAACCGTAAAAATCAAATTGAAATTTTCAAGTTGGGACATCTTTGTAGGTGTTCCAACGTAAAAAGATATCAGTTTTATAGAGAAAGAAATCTAACCAAAAGCTCTCCGGTTTTTAGAGATACATGGCAATCTTCGACCTTCAAACCCCTTCACTCTGGGTGTGAAGTGTTGAATTTTACGGCTGCACTTAACGTCTTAATAACGCTATGCCCCGGTCATATGGATGGGCGGCGGCCTGTACGGATAGAAGACCGAGAGCTTGTTTGTTTGCCCAGTTCAGGGGTCAGGGCAGGTCAGAACATCGAGACGTGCCTCGTTAGGCTTCGTTTTGCTAATTTCCCTTCAACAAAACCTTTTACGCTGCTCATCCGGCGTAAGATGTAAGTTCACGCACCCCAGAACGATATAATAGAAATCACAAGAACACAAACAAAACACTCTCCATTCATTTCATCAGCCTAACAAGCCTTTACGCGCAGTGCTTCATCCGAAAAAAACTAACCCTTGAAGGCTTCATCTTGCATTCTATGAATGTTCCCCACTGATCCATTGTTGCATCCCTTCTACGAGTTTTCTACGAATGTGGCCACCAAAAACCCCAACACAAAAGGAACTTAATTATACGGTGTGTTCAATCTCAGCGTATATATCAAAGTGGGTATACTATTTTAACTCCGCACTCGATCTACTATCCTAGTTCGCTGAGTCTGAAGGGATTTTCCATTGTCAAATATCTCAAGCTGTTTCAATGGCCCGCTTCAATCTATGGTTTGGGCATATGGAAGATTTTCACCTGAATCGGCTCGTGCCCCGCGGCAAGTCAAACACCATTGCACGCGTCGACAAAAGCAGCATCTCAGAAGATGGCCCCTTTGTACGTCATCATCATTGATTATCACGAGAAATCGCTTGAATTGTACATAGGCTTGATGTTCAGGAGTTTTGGAGAGTTTTCAATCGTAATCAAGCAAAAAAAGAAAGGCGCCCGTGTTACACACTTCTCGGGTGCCCAACTCATGCTATACGCGTGTCATACGTTTGGGCCAATTTTCACGAAAAACCTCATATATCAGCCCTTCAGTGTGAGATATGTCCATCCACCTTCTAAATTGTTTCGTCTCAACCTTTACAGTACATCGGCTGGCCGAATTCTACCGCTTTTTGGTGCTCTTTGTTATAGATTTTTCATTATTCCCTGTTGATCCAGGCCCAATTTTTTCTTGTTCATATACTTAAATCCCTAGGAAGCTACACCACTGTAAGATCATATCCAATTGACCTTCAATCTTCATCTCTCCTCTTCGCGTTGCATTGGCTGACCGCATTTCATCTCTTTTTTACCTGTTATAGATTTCTCATTATTCCCTGTTGATCCAGGCCGTATATCTCCTTGTTCATATCCTCAAATCCCAGCGTAGCTGCAGTGTAAGATCGTATCCATTTGACCTTTAATCTTAGTGTCTCCTCTCTGTGCATCGGCTGACCGTACTGTGTCTCTTTTTTGGTCTCATTTGTTATAAATTTTTCACCGCTGCCTGTTAATTCAGACCACGCCTTTATATCATTGCTACTATGAGCCTCACTATCAATGGCGATGTCGTTGGAGACCTTGTATTCACTGGAACAAACCACCAAATTGTTGGAAATCACCCTGCTCGGATCCTTCGAAGACGTCCAATGGTCCAGCCAGCTCGAATACTTAGAAGACGCCAAGTCCCCCAGCCGCCTCTCCCTGGCCCTGTTCGGGTACTTCGAAGGCGACAAGTCCTTCAGCCTGTACGTGCCCCTCAACCTGCTCGAGAACTTCGGAGACGCCCAGTCCCTCAGCCGGACCATCATCAGCCTGTTCAGGCACTCCGAGGACGCCAAGTCCACCAGCCTGTACGAGCACGTCAAAGACGCCAGCTTGGGGGCATTGTTCCGCGTGAAGTGCGAGATCCCAGACTCCTTCGAGCTCGAAACTTAAAGCGTTACAGTTGCTTCTCGCTCCCCTCCCACCAGGAGGATCCGATCTTTTGGGACAAAGTCTTCAAGTTACCACCTGAGTTCCTTCAATACATTTCGCCGACTTGTAACCTCCGCGCTCATTTAACCACACGACGAGTCCTTCGGGACATTATCCTATATTTCATTCCGGGCTATGAATTGCCCCTCGATGCACGGAAGTCCGAACTCATCAAGACCTTTCAAGATCTTGTGATCTGCCAGTATGGGAAGGTGTACGGGTTCTAATATTGTAAGTCTTTTCCTTCCTGGATACCATGAATACAAAGGTCCCTCTACAGCCTCTATGCTCATAATTTTGTGTTTGACGTTAAGCTTGGAAAGCAATTAGGATGTATGGGATTGCCCTCCGTTGGGATCAATTGGAAAGCTGTGTGACGTCTCAATAGTATGTTTATTATCTGATGACTACTCCATACCTTTTGGAGTGATGTTGTTATCAGCCTTGTACATCTTGTTCGTTGATCATGCTTCGCTTCTTATGTGCCTTCCTTCATTTACATTCACGATCCATATGTCTTGAAGATCATTATGTTTATGTCTGTGCCTCGTGTCTTATGTTTTTTAACCTGACATGTAGCTTCAAAGCTCCTTTTCATGTGTTGTTTCTTCCAAGATGTGGAATCTTATTCACAATACCCAGCGTGTTCAATTTGATTTGTTCATCACGGTTTTAGATGTTTTTGGGCTGTTTCACAATTGCCAAATATATGACAATTGAAACCTAGGCAACACTTGTATGTAATATGTTTGAAGCATCAATTGTTCCTCTTCATGTTCTGGAGGTGCTTCTTGGTTCCCTCAAATGTAAGACCTTGATCAAAAAACCTCTGTATATCACAATTGGTATAGTTGCTAGTCCCGGGAAGGGTCAAATCTCGGACCAAGCGGAAAAAAATCATAGCCGAGCCTCAAAACCCACACGATTTGGGAGCTGTGGATATTGTTTGAATCCTGGCCTCAGTGGCCATCAGAATATACAATCAGAGATTGAATAGCATAAATTCTTGTTTTACTTAGTTTTCACAGCTTCACAAATTGACCTCTGAGGGGTGCGATTCTTGATGAAAATCAAGATATAGATATGTTCTCGATTGCTGGTAATATGAGAACTATCCAGACTAAAATTCAGAGAAATCATTGATCATTGGTAGAATTACAAAAGAAAAGGTAAGAAGAAATTATTTCAAGTTTGTGTCAGTTGCCGAGTGGAGTGGAACGACTCGAAGAGATGTGTAGAGTTGAGTTTTGGGGTTGGGGCCAGGTTGAAAGAAGCGTCGGATAGTTTCAAGAGGACAGGTTTTTCTGATGCTTTCGAAATTCGATTCAGAATCGGAGAGACGTGATAAATATTGACAATGAGAGGCCTGATCCGAATCATTAAATAGATTGAGCCAAGGCCTCGGTGGGTCAAATTTCACTCGGTTTCTTGGACGTTTAGCAGATTCATGTTGGGAATTTCGGTCCTCCTGGGCTTCGCTTTGGCGTGTTGGAGGCTTATCATAAGAAAATTAATCGTGATTCGTGTTCACAGCATGATACGGTCAAGGCGAGGTCTTTGATTGTGTGTTGTAAAGTTACGTGAATTTCATTTGGTCACCTTTGATTTTATGACACGAAAACCAAGAATCTTTTTTACCAAAGTTAACCAAGTCCCTCAAGAGCTGTACTGTCCAGCCTTTGAGCGAGGGACTTGGTCAGGTTTGCTTTTTTACGGTCTTCCCCGTAGAATCATTGAACTTGACACAGCCCGACACCACCTCGTCTCACCCAGTACAAGCAAGACATGTGACTTCTGTAGGAAAGTCTATTCCAATGCGTAATTTGATTATGTGTATTCTGTATGAATATTACCCTTTCTAAAGGTAGTCCCTGCTTCCCGTTTCGCCAAGTGTTGGTCCTTATAGAACCAGGGTGAAACTCATATACTGTCTGTTTCGTTGTCAGGTATGTACATGATGGTCTATGAGAAGCTGCGTTGAATGTGCGCGATTTTACGTACTCCTAAAAAGGCTTGCCAACGCCTGATGTGGTGGCCATCCGTTCAAGCGAAAGGAGTTGGTGAATTGGATGGGGGAACAGATGCGTACTGAGGAAGTATGTACATACACTCGCGACCCTGGTCTTTGTTGATTTCTCATTCGGTTCTCAGCTGAATATCAGCGTTGTGATGGGGGTAATTGCCTATTGCGACACAGGAAGCGAATCAAGGGACAGAAATTGTTTATGCCTGAGTACTAGCATGACAATGGCCTGACGTAGCCATCGCGATGTTGGTACTCGGTCATGAAAGATGGCTGAGCGTCTCGGTTTTAGACCTGGGTGATGCAGGTCAACAGGATAATGAAACGACATTCTGATTGCTAATTGCAAAACAGGGTTTCAGGGATTCAAAGGACAAATAATTTTCTGGATGAGTACTAGCTCAGCCATCGCGATGTTGATGCTCGGCCAGAATAGATGAGAGGTTTCCCTTTTGGACCTGAGTGATCCAGGTCTAAAAGTTTACGAAGCAAATCGGGTTTTTTTCGTGATATTAGATAGAGAGTATTTCATTCGTGGAACGTTCTGCCCACCGTATTGTTTTTCTCTACTCCTCCTATCCTATCTTAACACATCTGAATTCCAATTATCGATACTATCACTTCCTATCATCATCAATCATCATCTTATAAGCCATAACTCAATTCAACTCTCCATTCGTGTACACAAAGAGCAGCCTAGGCACATTTTCCGCTATTCCGAATTCTCTCTGTCTGTATCTCCCTCAACCTGCCTGCTTCGAACTTTGAGTTCATCTCGACGCATAACCCTGAAGCTACAGGTTGAGCAGGTACTTCAGTGCTGAAATAATGGAAGAAGTTGTTAAAAAGCCAAAGCATAAGTCTCCTAGCACTATTCGATGTCGCAAGGCGCATTCTCTCCGACAAAAACTTGAGCGCAAGAAGAACAGACCACCAATCAACCAACGATCCGTCAAACTTGCACAATTGACTGAACTTTACGGACTACCTCCCGAAACAAAGTTTCTTTTTTTCAAGAAAGGTCAAACTACACCTACTCGCATTCACTTTGGCACCGTCGTTTGCCTTGACGAAGACACCAGCGAACTCCTATTAGTCGCACGCTTCGTTGAGCGTACTTCAACCAATCAGGCTCTATTCGAACATTACAACCACGCTATCTCTACAGTTTATCATCATGCCAAGGCACGTGGAGTGGTCAAGACTAATGGGGCTGCGAAGAAGGTGAAAGCGCACTTACGCAAGTACGGCAAGATGCACGCAGCTGGATTTAGGCCTGGATATGATCATATCGCAAAAGCAGGTCAGTTTTTTGTAATATGCATTCCTAATGCGTCAAACCATACTTACAAATTTCCTAAATCTTGTCCTTCCTAGGAGCATATGCGTTCAATGCAACTACCAGTGGCCAGCTTTGGCGCATGCAAGAGGATCTTGAGCGCCAAGGGAATCTTCCGGCCATTGAGGACTTCTATGCTGAGCGCTTTGCGGGTTTATCTTCATATGCTTTCAATTCCAACGCCGAACTAGCTTCAAGAGTTGGGGTTCCATCTTGGGCTGGAGAATCCTTTTACGTCTCTCCCAACGCGCAAGTATTCGCCTCGAACATAGCCGTCACCTACGACGAGTTTTCCAACGCCAAACATACCGACTTCGATGAAAGCAAGTACGCTTTTGGTTTTTTTACACATATCAATCGTCACACTGGGAAACTCTATTCCCTTCAAAATGACCCCTTTCAAGGCGATTCTAATGGATCACAATTCTTTTTGGACAACTACAATGTGACGGTGGACTTTGATGCATGTGATGGGGTAGTTGAAATGCTCTGGGCATCTCAAACTGACCACCACACTTCTAACTCAAAGACGTACAACGAACATCATGTGAGAGTAATCCCCACGCGAGCCAATATCACTCGCTTTGGTTGTGCTTGCCAGATAAACAAACGCCTGGTTGAGAGAATTCAAGAGGTCAATAACATGCGGGGAGACTTGTGCGATGATTGTTGGTTTCAACTGCGTAGCACTCTCCTCACTGGCTATCCTGAGGAAGCGCGTAAAAAGTTGGTGCGCTTAGCTGAGAAGAAAGGAATAGATGACTTTGCCCTTGTTTTTCCCTAAGACATTGTAACATCATCACTGCATACTGCGACTTTTTCATCACCTGATCATGTACATATATGTCTCTACCTTTCTATTTCTTTCTCAACCCATTTCTTGTTTTTCCTTTGGCGTTTGTGTCATGAATCTAATTCCTTTGATTGTGTGAAATTCTCATGAAACCGTGCTACGCTGCCATATCTTGTTTTCTTGCCTGGACAAAAATATAATGAGAATTCAAAAAGGGAAATTGATGGGTTCACAATCGCGATTAACCGCAGAAATTTGATAGTGAAAGGAAATAATAAATAATAAATTGACTGTCAATATGTACATTACATGATATTGCGAAATTTTCTACATAGCAAGAATGGCAGCTCCAATTTCATTCCAAGTAATCGAGCAAAAGCAGTCGAAGGAATACAACTCGGCCCAAACTCTTGCATCTATTGGCAAGTTGGAAGTGCTTATCTGAAGGCGGTTCGGAAGTGGTTACTTCCAAAAATCAGATCGTGCGAGTGGGGTTTATTTGAATGATGTACGAGTGAAACTTGACAGATTTACACCCTTTGTGAAGTGGGTTTGTGCACGATTACATATAACAACCCCTTTCATACCTGATTTGTGCTGCATTCGAGCGGTTTTATCCAGAGGTCGACGTAGCTGGACATCCATTGATTCCTTACTCGCGCCGGATTCCGCTGCAACAAAATTTATACTGGTCAGTGTTTTCTCTATTTCTCATATTTCAAAAGCTCCAAGTTGAAAGATTTTTTTACATACCCTGTAGCGATGGTGTTTCCACCTATACTAGGCCGCGTAACTAGCGGCATCTTACCCGGTTTAGAAGCCATTGCGTGTCATGATCGAAAGCCAGATCCAAACGCAATCCCCGGAGGCGGCTCGACTTCTCATGAACGTGAAAGTGACTTTGATATCTACTTCAAAAACAATCTGGAACCCGGGTCCTTCCACAAGATACCTGACTATCTTGTTCAACATGTACAAAGACACGGCTTCCTAAACAGTCACGAGATCGAGCATCTTATCAGCTCTATGGTGTATTTGGAAGAAGCAACTGACGACATCAGGCAAGATTATTGCGAAGCCCGAATCATGCTTCGATACATTCACACGATGTTACGTTCAGAAGATCCCGAAGTCATTGCTCACCGGGAAATCTTGAAGCGTCAAGAAAAGGAGTCACGCAAACGTTACAAACGTTATAAGCGCATGGTTCGAGAATATCAAGATGACACCGGGCTTCTGTGGGCACTAATGGCTCAGGAGATGTAAGTTAATGAATCAAAAAATCACATATTGCGTCTGAATGAGATCATTCTGACTGACATGATACTTTGTTCACAGTAAACGCACCTGTGATGTGGAAGATGCTGCTGCTGCGAATAGAATGGAACCTGATGTCGCCGCGCCGCCCTACACCCATACGCCTTAAGGGACGGGTGGCTTTGGATCTTGATGTTACGGTTCAAGTGGTGGTGTAAATCATAAAGTGAGGTTTCTTTATTTATCGTTTCTTCATTTTTGATTTATGTTGTAGTAAAGTTTATATATTCTTTATCCATCTTTGCTCTTTCTAGTCCTTTCATTATCATCTTTTCTCTGCTCTCTTCATCTTTTTTCTTGGGTTCCTTGTCTGTCTGGTGGCTTTTGTTTGACTCGCGTGTGTTGCTCTCACTCTTTCTATGTTTTTTTTGGTTTTGTCACCCTTTCAATTTTTGTTTCTCGAAAGTGTAAGTTGCAAAGTTTATTTGTATCGTGATTCACGCCGCAAACTCGACTTTGGCAATGCATTTTTTTCAAGGTTTTTCACTGTCTTCACACAATGGAAAACATTGGTCTCAAACATCTTGATTATCAGGAAACAATGTACTTTTACGGTCTTTATATTTTACGGCGTACAAGGTGTGGAAAAATCTATCGGAAAGCTCAATTATTGGGCATCGGTGGCCTAATTTTTGGTCAACTTTTTACACGCAATTTTTTTGCGAACACATGAAAAACAAGACTGTATGTAGAATAAAACAAAGTCTTGAGGAAATTGGACTTTTGTGAAAATACGATTTCCGAACATTGATAGCGCTGTAGAAGTGATAGGACTTGATTTTGAACAATAGATAGAAAATAAATTAGGATTTTTTGTGTTTGAATTTTGTGATGTAAGATAGCAAGGTAGGAAGATGCGATGAAACAACAACAAAATCAATCAACATGGCAAACCTTCGAACAACACCTCGTGCTACAATAAAACCTCCTACTCAAGTTGCAGTGCACGAGGTCTTTGATAAATTGATAATCAACAATGTAGGCTCCTTGATTCCAAAGCAGCCTTGCGGATTTTCCCAAGAAGCACCATGACCGACAATCTCATCCAATCTTACCATATCTTTCTTTTTCTCTCTATCGTACACCACACTGAATCCAGAATATGGCCAGTCAGTGAACCCGTGCTTTCTTTGGTGAGCTGCCGTCAAAGTAGCATATCGAGAGATGTCAATCCAAATCTGCTGGTCTATATTTCCATCCCGACGAACTATTGTCATGAATATTTCGTTGATTTTTCCCCAGACAAAACCTTTCTTGTGTTTGGAAATACGTATCGGATAAAGAACTATGCTGTTCCCCGGGTTTTTCTTGTTAGTTGAATATACTACATTGTGACATTTGACTGAAACCATTTGATTGACCCATCTTGATATAAGAATTTTATCTTCATTGTGCTGGGATTTCTTGTAGACGTCAGTGGAAAGTATTGCCTTGTCGCCATAAATTTCTTTCATGCGACTGAGAAGAAGGAGATGGGCATCATAATCCAGAGTTTCATTCTTTTTGGGATTATACCTGAGTGTCGTTGGGCCACCCCGTCCTTCTCGAAGGTAGGCAGAAGCGCTGCCATCGGTACACTTTGGTGACAAAAATTTGGAGAGATTTGCTGCCGTTTTTTTCGGTAGCTGTTTGCATAAGTCCGGAAGCACACAGCGCATATTCTGACCGGTTGTCCACTTATTCAGTATTGTGTACTCCCTAGAGCCTTCTCCAAAATTGATCAGTCAGTTTATCGTACCGTGGTCACATGAAGAAGGTATCAAAACTCAGAACTCACTATCATGATTATTAGTTGGAATCTTGGCCAATGATCCATTTGTTGCCTCAAACGACCACGCAGTCCAATAAGGAGCAGGACCAAAAACCCTGACTACCTGAGGAATGTGTAGTAACATATGTAGATTGGGAGTCACCGAAAGTGAAGTGAACAGTTCAGAGAGTCCGTGTCGATAGCTTTTTATATGGTATTTCAAAGCCCCCAAATCTTTATCTTGCACTTCGAATCTTCGTACAATTTTGAGGATACTGATGAGATGAAGGGTATTTCGAACAATCTCATGGTCTGTGATGCATGAAAGATGACCCTTTCTATGGAAGAAAAGTATGAAGGCCGGAATTATCATGACCTCATATAATACAACCCATTCATCTGCTTTTAATTTACCACCTTTGCTTGATCCTACCGTCTGTGGTACTCGACCGATCCAAGAGGGGAGATGGGCCTGCCGTATAACTTCCCTCAGGATATTCAAGTGCTTCTTTTTGTTGAAAATATTATTATATTGTTGATTAACCTCTTCATAATCAGATAACTCCTCTTCCTCCTCTTCACATCCTGCAACTGAATCTTCTGAAAATCCCATGAAAGGTTCAAGTTCGGATTGATCGTCATGAATACCTTGCTCAGCGTCAAGCGTAGTATTGTATTCTAGACCCATGCTTCCAAAAGCAAGTGATAGATCATCTTCTGGGGCAGGCGAGGCGTCTTCACATACAGAGGGTGACTGGTTCGCAACTTGATCACCAACGCATTCTGATGCTTGAGACTCGGTTTCTTCATGGTCAGATCCACCATCGTCTGAATCGAAATCCTCAAGTACCTGCTCCAATGTATCAGACTCGTCCTCTTCTGCTTCGCTAACTTTCTGTCTAGAAGATGTTGATTTCTTTTTTGACAATAATCCCAACGCATTGAGGCCGTGATGACGAAGTAAACCGAGGAAGATGTTATGCATAGGCTCTACCACGGTATGGACAGTTGGGTCAAAGTAAGGCAGCTCCCATAAGACTGTGTATCGGACTCCGTTTTCCTTGAAAAGACGTTGTCGTTCCTTAACTGTCTTTGCATTTTTCCACGCCAATGCTTGTGATTTTAGCTCGTGCTTACATCGACGTAGGGTATGGGGAATTTTGAGTAAGTCTATGTTATGCTCCCCAATTCGACATAAAGAACACAGGTTTTTCTTTGAGCTATGTCCAGCCATTCCTAAAACCTTTCGCATCGCCGGAAGATCGCATATGATTGGTCCCAACATCACTCGAATGATGCGACCTTGTGTTGGGTACTTCGCGGTGGAAGAAAACTTGACCCCTTTCCACAAAATTTTGAGTTCGTCAACAAGAGGCTTTAGTACATTGTTGATTTGAGTCATCTTTGGCTCAGAAGGTCCGGGAATCAATCCAGAGAGAAAAATGTTTTCTGGAGAAGTACGTATGTGCGGTGGAAGATTGAGGCATACTAAAGCAACAGTTCCGACAGAGTCTTGCTTGCCTGCTGCTTTGTTGCCAAGAGGGTTGAACCAATCAACGTTCAGGGAAAATACCAGATTCCCAGGAGAATTTGTAAATTGATCACCATCGATCCCACGCGCCGAGCGCCACATAGATCCATGCCAGACATCGGACATCGCAGAACGATCTCCCGGTACGTGTTTGCCGGATTCCAGGTGCTCTTCAATTTCAGGGCGGTTCAAGAATCGAGCTAACCATTCGGTGAAAGCAACGGTTGAGAAGTATCTACTCGCCTTTCGGGTCTCATCATCTTCGCCGGTCTTTATCTTTTTAAAAAGAGCTTCATTGCACTTGTGACTTGAGCGAGTTTCGCGCCAATCACATATATCAGGTGTATCATCAGCATAGTAAAGCCGAAAGCATTTTGGACAGCATAGAGTTCGCTGTATGTTTGGTTGGATTTTCAGATCTGTGAGAACGGTACGGATGTCCATAGGTGACCAATTCTTTTGTGTAAACCTAGCTGTACGATCACCGGTTCCCCGTACCGAATTGTTGACGTGAAGGCATAGTGTAGCCACCGCCATGCCAATGTGCTCGAACAAGTACAGACATACCATTACGAGGTTCATTGCGGAGGTCAGTGAGTCGAATTTTTTGAATTGGTCATAGTAATGCCTGCCGTATTGACCTACATCACGATGGAGAACAGTTCGAATGAGAAAACAGATCCTAGATCCTCAAGGAGGTGAGATTGGTACGGAATTTACCTGACTCTACTGTAATGCCATCCCATTGTGGCTGGAAATGACTGCCGGTCGCTTGTCGACATGGTGGATTGGCCACTTTTTTCAGATATGATATATCGAGATGTGACATGGTCTTTTCAGCAGGTGGAGGGTGAGTCAAAGACGGCTGCAAGTTCTCTACAAACATATCATCCAGAGCGTCAAAAAGATGATTAGCTTGGAGAGCCATCAGAGTGCGTGCTCTGCTAAATCGGAATTAGGTAACCCACCTTTGCATGGTCCCGGATTGTCATTACAGGCTTGTTGACCATGTGAGTTTCCGAAGATGTTTGTGCTATTGACTATTGAGCTACTCTGTGCAGTCTTTGACTGAAAGGATGAAGGCGATGTACTGCTCTTTTTGAGTCCAGCCATCAAGGAGCGGTTTACCTTGAGTGAATTCTGATGGGCTTTATAAGCCTGGGAACTACGCTTCCATAGGCGCCCGGGTTGACCCGTGTCTTTTCCAGATTCCAGACAGTCAATACAGCGACACCTGATTACTATTGGTGGTACCATTATGAGATGAGAGAGACTAAAAAAGGTTTTGATACTGAAAGTATCCAAAGACTTGTTCAAGACGTTTCGATATGACGTTCAGGATGAGATGATTCAGTATATGAGCGGAAGCACAATGTTATAGCAGATGATTTGGCCGCTGACAAGACTGGATGGCGCCACGAATTAGTCAAGGGTGATAGAAGAATCGAATAAGTCGAGGGTGATAGAAGAATCGAATTAGTCGAGGGTGATAGAAGAATCTAATGAGTTTTGTTATTATATTATGATTGGATAGGCAACAAAAGCAGCCGAAACACGCAAAAAGCAAGACCTTATATACAAAGATCATGTTTAGGAATAGTTTCTGCTCAACGTAAGAGCTCAGTGACTCATCAGAAGTGTTTGCTCATGATGTCAGTGTACTGAACACATCTCATTTTCATGAGGAATCACACATAGGGTACATCCATTGACTCGGTACCTCGATTTTGAGCCCTCGATGTCAAAGTCGTTGACTAGTGATGCACCTCAGGTTGGTTAATCAATCACGGGAGTAAGCCTATCAGCAATTGATGGCCTCGAGTTTGCAGTGTCAAACAAACAGACGTTCAGCATCATCCCTTTCACCAGGCGCAATGTACTGTCGTGTTTCACGGTTGCGACAGGCTGTCGCTTTTTCGTAGTCATGCGCAGTCACTGCGGACAGCGAAACCGTGTCGCAAGTTGCAACCGTGAAATGCGACTGTGAATTGCGCCCCGTGTTTGTTTCCCCAAATCATTTCGGAACAATACACCCAAAAGACCAAGTGATCCGCGGGCGGTACTACACGCCCGAGTTAATGAGCTGCGAGAACAACTTCTACGAGCACAAAGATGTATGCAAATATACATCTTCTCCATCCCAATCTTGAATTTTACGTAGCACAACTCGCAGCCCTTATTCCTCTTCAAAAAACTTCACCGCGAAATGCAATAAAGCTACCGTAATCTACAATTTCACGACAGATGCCTCACAGACACTTTTTAGTCTGCAAAACGATGTACGCAAAATTCAACCCGAAGCATCCAATCTCGAAATTTACGAAGTAACGTCCAAGTTATCCTTTCATCCACATCCATTGAAAGACCCGATTTGGATGGGATTGAATTGCCATAGTTCCCCGCCGAAAGAACCCAATGACCATAGTTACCCACCAACAGTGGATGCACAGGCAAGTCTGGTTCATGTCTTGTCCTTAAACCAAGCCTCTTCCCAAAAGAGAAAGCTTTCGGAAGTCTTTGGCAACACTATAGACTTGCTATGGAAGATGATAACGTACTTCTCGAAGCCACTTCTCACAACAGAATTGGATTGGCGAAGTCTACCGAACAAATTCACTGAACTCCTTGACTTGAAGCACTCTCTGTCTCTCTGCAACGAGTTTCTCTCTTATAAGGTCAACGTTCGCCTTGATTTTTTTTCATCAATTGAATTTCCAAAAAAGAATCATCAATCAAATTTTCAAAAAATCTTCATCAATCAATTTCTCCCAAAAATTCCAAGACGTAAAAACAAGTCCATCTGTAAGAGCATGGAAATCAGGAAATGAATGTGTTCGGAAAGAACATGGGATTTGGTCTTGGAATGAAAAATAAAATCAACCTTTTGTTTTACAACCTAGATATTTTAATTTAGATTCAATGACGGGAAAAACTTATGATTTTTATCATCAAGCTTTTTTTCCTACTGTTAAAAAGTTTTCAGATTGCATTCAAAGAAAATTACCTAATGTGAATATAATGGTTGGACCGATTCCTAATGAGGTATGTCACTTCTTTTCTTGACTTTTGAGAAAGTTATTCATCATTCTTATCTTATCTTTTTGGTAGTTTTATCCTGGACGGAAATTAGAAGAAAGACCTAAGAATTTAGTACTCCCTCATTTCTATGATTTGTTTTCACTTGTACATAAATCTTTTGGTAATGTTACATTGGATGTTCAAGCAATGTGTTTGGTTAGTTTTCCATTTCTTCGACCTCATCAAACACAATTTCAAAAGACAAGTCGAAAAGGAAAAGAAACTGAACATGACTTTGATATTGATCTTTAAATGGATCTTTGAATGGATTATTGAATGGATTATAGAGAAGACCTATCTGGGAATGGATTTACTTTGGACAATCAGGAGCGAAAAGAAAGTAAGCAAACCAATCCACGAAACCTCCTATTCTTGCCTCTAATCAAAACAAAACACTGATCACTATTTCCTTCTACCAATCATAATCAGTTATACGAATCAAATTAAACAAATTATAAAATCAGCTGAAAAAAACATAGGTAATGTACCATGTTTAATTGGCGAGATTGGAATGTGTAAGGATATCAATCAAGGAGAAGCCTTTAAAACTGGTGATTTCAAATGGCAAGAATGACAAATGAATGCATTGATTTGTGGGCTAGAATATAATCTTGTTTCATTTGCGTAAGTCTCTTCATCCAACAAAATATTTCGACACTTTCTTCATATTTAATCTTTATGATTGCCTTTTTTGGGGTTTTGGTTAAAGGGTTTTTTTAGGTTATGGAATTATAGTCCTTATAATACTGATATACATGGGGATGGTTGGAATAGAGAGAGTTTTAGTTTTATTAGTTCTTCTTCTCCTAAAGATTCAAGTGGAAATCATGAACCAAGACTCTTAAAATGGATCTTAGTAAGTCTCTTGAACCTGCAATTTCATATTTTTGGTTTCTAACTGATTCAATTTGTTTTAAACTGCTTTTTTCAGAGACCTTATGCAAGAAGGATGGCAGGATTACCAATCTTTACTCAATTCGATTATGAAACTAGATCTTTTGAATTTAAATGTCAAAATCATCATTCAGTTAAACCTACTATAAATCAAACTGAGGTTTTTTTACCAAATGATTTATATAAAGAAAAGTTTACTCAGATTGAAATTGGTGATGGAACTCATTCATGGAAATCTGATGTAAGTGACGAAGATTCAATCTGGGTTTCGATCTTTTCATCTTTTGGTTTTCTGACAATGGATGTGGTTTTTATGTGTTCAGTTTCAATGTTTGATTTGGACTCTTGAGAATGAAAAAGAAGATGAAAATCATTGGATTAAGATTCATTCGAGAGATCAAGACAAAAAACATAAAATGAATCAAAAAGAAGGTTATAATCAATTGATGTATACTGTTCCAAGTATCTTGATTGGTTTGATTGGGGTTTGGTCTGCAGTTTCCAGAAAAATTAAATTAACTTGAGTTTAAAAGTGTATTTGATGGAATTCAGATGTGGGAAGATTTCTTGTGTTTTTATAGATTTGTTTTAATATTTAAAAATTTGATCGATAAATTATGATAAAACTTGGATCTTTGATACACCAAGTTCACACCAAAATATCCAAAGATATTCAATTTATAAGAAATTGACAAATCTAGATTTTTGCAAAGCTTATAAAACACGCTCGTGATCGAATTTTTTTCTAAACATTATGTGTAAATAACAAGTTCAACAAAAGTTGCAAACTGATTTCATAATCATTTATTGATGTATGACTCGATTACTCGATTCTATGAATAAAACATCTACATACCTCTCAGATTAATGACTGTATTGTAACATGAAATGTAAAGCATGTTGTAGCTCAAGTTACGTAAGTAAGATTTTTTTAATACATCTATGAGTTGTGCGAAGATGGATATAAAATTACGAATTCCACCAAGACGTCTTAATCTTACATTTTTTAATCTTCACTCTAAACATTGAATAGTTATCAGTTGGCAGGTACACAAAAGCCCATGGAATTCCAGGGGCAGGCTTCAAGAGTTTTCTTTAAAATGAGGAACAAGCATCTTGTAAATCTGCTCAGAGGAATCACTTTCCGACGTGTCACTAGACCACTCTGTGTGATCTTGGTCTTTGTTAGTAGTCCCACATTCTGCAGAATTCAATGCAACCTCGATGTAACCCTTGAAAGATACGTAGTTTTCCATGAACACTGTGAATATGTTGATGAATTCCTCTCGGTCCTGCACCTTTCAGTATGAACAAGATATATGTGAGATCAATTGAGTTGAAGTTTGTGTTTGTGAGAGATCAGAGATCAGAAGATGTATCACCTTTTTACCAGGCTTTGATCGCTTGAAATACAAATCAAGTTGCTTTGCTATATATCCTGAGTTGCTTTGATGTGGCTCGGATTGGACCCGAGGGAATCTGGAAATTATTGAATGGACGTCCCCAGGTTGGAGAATACCTGAATGCAAAAGTCTTTCACTCAAATGAGCCAAGGTCCTAAAGTGTCTTTGGAATCTTTGTAAGTTATTTGACATCAAATGGAGTTCCACCGCTGAAATTCTCTGAGAAGGAATCCTTCTGGGAGTTTGTTTTCCTTTCGAGCGTGTTTGAGCTGCGGTTGTAAAGATGATTTGAGGGTCAACATAGGCTTCAAGACCAGCAAAGTGGAGACTACATACGCAATTGGCGCTTCTTGATATCGATTTTGGCTTCTTGCATCCCTCCATTGAGTGTTTCAAGATCCATCAATTTTCTCTTATTGACCCGGAATTGCCGCGTATCTGAAGGTGAAAGTGTCATTGAAGTCCAAGAAATAGGTGCAGTTGTTGGTTTGGGTGGGATTGGATTTGAAAGAAGTGTGATCGAGTCAAGCTTCATTACTGGCGCTTTGAGTGTTAGAACGCTCTCAAACAATGTATGAAAGCCACAAGATTCTTTTTATGGATCAAGGTTTTTGGGCCGAATGGGATTATGTGGAACAACACCAGATTCCAACTCAAGACAGGTTTATGTAGTCGCAGAACCAAGGTGCTGAACTGAGTTGCTTATATGTAACTCAGTTCTTTGTGGTTGTTTATCACCGCTTCCCAACCACAGTGTATTTGCTGAGCCCTATCTCAGTATCAATACGCCTTGAGTGATGAGAGCCGAAAATGAAAGGAGATAACTGATCAATGTTCATTTGATCAGAAATTTGTCAGTATGCTCATACACAAGTGGTGAGTTTGAATTTTATCACCAAAAATATCAGTGAAAGGTTGTTCAGAATGATTCAACTTTTGTATGATATCTACGGTTCAGACCAATCATTCCCTGAGTATCTTTATCTCCTTCTATGATGTTCACAAACTTTACAAAATAATGATCGTAAAATTCAACATTTGATGTTACACAGCCGTGATGTTAAATTGATCAGATGGGACTTTGTTTATCAGGACGTGCAATCAGAGGCAAAAGCCAAATCTTCTGAATCAAACTGTTATATTTGAACAAAAGTCGACAATGCGATTGACAAAATGCTACCTCATTTGAAGATGTGACCTCACGATCAGTGATCTAAATCAATCAAGTGAACTCATTGCAAATGGGGCTGGTCGATGTATGTAAATATGGGTGATGAATATGAGAGCGGAAGGAGGTTGGTGAAGATGAAAACAATCCATGGCATCAAGAGGAAGTAACTCGACAAAATCATCAAGCCAATACAAAGATAAGTAAATTGATTCCAGTAACTCTAGTTTCAATAAGGATCAGTGGTGTCGACGCTTGCTAGATCCTTCCGCTTCTCTGTTTTGATCATGTTGGCGCTTATTAAATTGATTGATTTGGGTTTCGGGTATGCCAGTAAAGTGAAATCGCGGGTTGATGTGAGTCTCGATGAAAGGCGAGTCCGCTGAGACACAAAGGGGTTAGTGGAGTGCCGGGAAAGACAAGAGGTGGATAGGTATGACTGACATGCACCAATGCTTTCTTGCATCTCACTTCCACCCAACTGATACCAAAACTGCGCATCAGCCGGTGTCGCTTCCCCACGATAATTTTCTTTGACGGCGCTGTTTTCCTTTTTCGTGCCCTTCTCTTGTTCGGTACTGCTGTGCTCAACACCACTTTGAGCTAAATTATCTGGGATTCAGCATACACTACCGTTGTGGAACTTGAACAAATAAGCTTCACTTACGAGTACTTTCCGTGATTTGGAGTACGGGAGGCGGCTCTGTACTTGGGGACGTTTGAGCAGGACCGGGTTTGTGGTTGATGTGAGTATCAATGAAAGGCGAGTCCGCTGAGACACAAAGGGGTTAGTGGAGTGCCGGGAAAGACAAGAGTTGAATAGGTATGACTGACATGCACCAATACTTTCTTGCATCTCACTTCCACCCAACTGATACCACAACTGCGCGTCAGCCGGTGTCGCTTCCCCAGGATAATTTTCTTTGACGGCACTGTTTTCCTTTTGTGTGCCCTTCTCTTGGTCGGTACTGCTGTGCTCAACACCACTTTGAGCTAAATTATCTGGGATTCAGCATATACTACCGTTGCGGAACTTGAACAAATAGCTTCACTTACGAGTACTTTCCGTGCTTTGGGGTACGGGAGCCGGCTCTGTACTTGGGGACGTTTGAGCAGGATCGGATTTGTGACAAGATGCAGAAAGTGGTACCGCGTCTTGCGGGTTGAGTTTACTGAGGTCTATCTCTAAGGTGATTTTGAGTATCATTGAGGGATAATTTGATAGAGCAGGCTTTTGGGGAGGACGGATCAAAAAATTTGGGACAATTGAGAATTTATGCGTTAATAACGGGTGTCAAGTCGAGACTTGGACGACAAGGAATCTCAGCAGCGCAAAATCTTTCAAGCAGAAGCCTTTGTACGGTACGACCACCAAAAAAAAATTGTGGTCGTAAAATAAGTCCACTGAATTTGGATCACGAGTGGGGATTTTCTATAAATTCACGATCTTCACGGCAGATTGTTCTGACTTGACACCCCTTCATAGCGCTCACAACTCAATTGGCCGTAGAAAGAGCCCCAAAATGTTGGATAAAGGGCAAAATAGTAGCTCATTTGAATGATGCGTGGAGGCCAAGTCAAGCCGACCAAGATTGCCTATATGAATTCCTCTCCATCATAAGATAGACAGCCTGTCCTATTGTTGTAAACTTGACGTACGGTTCCAAATCTTGATATCGTACAATACCCACCAAATATTTGGGCTTGGTTTTTGAGATAGAGCCGAGTATTACGAGATACATTCGAGTTGAAAAATTCTGGTGGAAACCTCAATAGCTTCACGAGTGCGTCCTTTTTTCAAGGGTTCATATGTGGCTCCCTGACTCCTATATCATGGGGGTGCTTTTGCATCAAGAAAAAAATACAATAAGACGTGATTGGGCGAAGTTGTCCTAAGTCTACACAGCGCGATTTTACAACAGCGCGTTCTTTACGACGTGCAAAAGGGTGGGGTGGTCTTTTGGCCGAAGGTGTTAAGGTCTGTGCACAATAATCCCATGGCTATGGGGTGCTTTTGTCAAGCTAGGGATTCACGACGGGACAAATTCTCTTCTCTCGACTTGAGGAGAACAATAACACAAAACGTCATGATCAACAAAACATCATTGGGTGAATGAAGATGAAATATTGAACAATGTACAAGCTGATAACCGGTTTAATTACGGGTGGAAATCGCTGGAATCCAAACAACTTTATCTGCCATGGCCTCTTTCATATGAATTTACTACTTGCTGTACCAATGTACTGCGGGTATTTTCCAAGGCTACTTCTAAAACGTACCAACAGGGACCCCCAGACGAAGATTACAATGCATAACAGTAAGATTATGCTACAGTGTATCCAAATAGCGTATCTCCAGTAACCCTTGTCTGAGATCAACAAGTTGATCAGTGGGCCGATAATCTATACAGAAGGACACCGTGACATCATCAATGCAACTCACTTTTGGAAGCATCGGGTGGAGTCCTGGCTACGGCTCTTTTAGTACCAGCGAACGCGGTCTGGCACCCTGTTTTTGTGAGATACTTTTGGAGTCAGATCACAGTGCGAAATACTGTAAGAAAACCCGTCTTCTCGGTCTTTCACAATCTAGACTATACAGGAGGTGGAAATTGACTTGCCCCTTATCCCGGTGTTTGCCGACAGAATTGAGCTCTCCGCAGAACTGTTCGCCGTGTAATCAAAATCAGCTTGTTGGAAGATTCGCTTCTCTGGCAGTTGATACACATTGGGAAGAGATCAGCATGATGCCAGGGGTCAACTTAATAATCAGCGTACCTATTCTGCTGTATAACGTTTCTTCGAAGTCCTGCAGTGAAGTGGATAAAATGTTCAACACCTCGTCGGATTTTTCACAAGCCTGCTCATGATTGATAGCAGCTCGATCTCGTTCCTCTTGCATAAATCACGAGCATGTTAATAAAGCAGATATCCACAGTATACAGCCCAAAAAATTCTAAATAACTCACCTCGGGCCTCTTGCTGGAACTCCCCGAGTTCTGCTTTAGCGTTTGAAACTTTGTTTTCACACAAAACTCGCAAACATCTTGCTTCATATAGTTCCTCTAGAAACCATTCAAAAAAATCAGCGCTATGAATAAGAGCGCTGGATGTTCAATCGACTCACCTGTTCCTTTCTGCGAAAATCTCAAGAGTTCGGCTCTAGTGGTGGACATTAGACATTTCAAGGAAGTTGTCTGTTTTTTTTCCACATCTTCGCGTTCCCGCAACAGATCTCTGAATCTTGTTGAAGAACTTTCTAGGGCCGCTAAAACCAAAATATGCGAGGCAATCAGGCTTCTTGTGACTCTGTTGAAGCTGAGGTACCAGAATAACTGACCTTCCAGCCGATGTATATTTTCTTGAAGAAGTTGACGTGTGGTTTGCAAACCATCCTTACACTCTTCCAAAGATTGAGCGCTGGCATCGAATTCAACCCGCAATTTTTTCAACGGAACATGTATAGTATGCTTGTCCTTTTTCTTCGTGATCCAGAGGTCTTCAACCTCCGCTTGCAGTTGGTCATACCTTCGTACTGAATCTTGATAGTTCTCGTGTAAGTGACTTTCTATGTATCCTAGACGTTTGAACATATCGTTGACGCGTTTATCAAAATCTTCGCAATTCAAACAGGCGGGAATGTCGGGAGATCCAATCCCATGTGTGCTTGAGCTGACAAATTTCGCTTGATAAGATCAAAGTCGCGGTGGTAAGGCTTTTGAAAATCTACTAGCTGAAGGTGGATATTGAAAAGTCATTTATTGAGTGAAAACTTCAAGTCTAGATATGAAAAGGATATACAATCAATAAAAGATACCGAGACAACCGAACTTGAGGGAACGCGGCTGATAGCTGCAATATTAGGAAAGTGCCAAACGCAAGAGGGTCCAAAATCAGACACTTGAACGCGGTGGTGAGTGTGCTGTCCAAGCTGTTGTGTTGCTGAATATCGCTGGATGCCTTTGATTATGATATGTTCAACACGTCCTCAGCTGCTCCGTTGATTGGAAGCTTGACGGTGGTAAAAGGGAACTCACGCTTTTTTTAAAGTTGATCAGCTATCCACTATGCTCATCAAAGAGGCTCAATGATTTAATTTGAGTACTCCACTCTGGCCTCGACTCAGTTGACCTATTTATGCCTCAATCCTTTATCAGGATGTGTTGAGGAAATATTTTGTTTGTCATATACCTGTACTGCTCATGGGTGAAATCAGAGTATCCGCCAGTGACTTCCTTCTGCAAACAAAATACGCACACAGTGTTTTCTACTCACAAGCGAGATTATCTTTTGAGTGCATGTTGTGCGTAAATTTAACAATTTGATGACTTTCAAGAGGGTTTTGTACGGTTTGAAACTTGGGGCTTGACACCGAACTTGAAGCCCCCCTAATGTATCTGATAATTCCTTTGACTGTTGAGGAGTTGTTGTCAAAGTCCTTGTAATTTTCTAGTCAGAAACGTATACATACCCGGGTCTGATTACGCCTGGACCATGCTGTTAAACTTTAGGGAAGAATCAAGAATACTCATATAGCAAGATGCACAGAACTATCCCCGCGGGCGTCACAGATCAGCACAGATCAAGAGAGATCAAGATCAAATTCTTATACACCTGTATTTTATGGCAAAGTTTATATGTACCTTGCAAACGATTGATTTGTTATCTCACTGATCCCTATTGGTAATCCCGTAGGCTGTATTCTGGCTACCAAAAATAAATATTCCCTCCGGGGAAGTTATACGTAAACTAAGGTTGCACAGTAAAATGTAGCCTTAAACCCATTCCCGAATCCCAATTGTGTTGACTCGTTTTACAGTCCGGGCTGATAGTTATTTCAAGGGCGTTTTTCTGTACCGGAGTACCTGAGAGGATCGGTCAATTGGCCTTCAGCATCTCCACCGCTGTGAAAAATTTCAATTCTTTTCATGTAAGTACAAAAACACATGAATCTAACCATAATGAATGAATAAAATTGCTATCAAGAAGTTCGTCGGGAAGGTGCTCGATAATCATCCTCTCAGTTCATCAGCAGGAATCTGTAGAAAACAAAAAACCAACATCCTGATCAGACACTAAACCAATTCCATTCACTGAAAAGAGAGAGAAGGTGTTCACTTGCCATATATTCTCGAACATTTCGTGCTTAAATTCGCCTAGATCAGATCTGAATTTAGTCCTCCCCGAAACTAAGACCTTCGGCGCGCTGTAGTTTCCGGGGCCTGACCATGAATATCAGCTGATCTCTCCAAGCCTTGATGCTCGTCCGAAGTAGCTGCACGTTTTGTGGAGAGGTTGGATTTCAAATAGATCGTATAATATATGGTGAGGCGGTCGTACAAGCCTAATCTTGAAACAAAAACTGATGGAGGCATGATTTCTCTAGATCTGTTTGCATGCCGCCAAGAAGAAGACAAATTTATTTCACTTTGGAGGTGTGAATTTGTGGATCTGCTACCTTATATTAAAATGAAGAGCAGTTATATTGAAGTGATGAGCAGTTATATTGAAGTGATGAAAATAGAAATTTTGACAAAAGGGAATAAGATGGTGATGGAATGGAATGGCGTACATGAAACCCCATCATCCAGTTTTAATGACAAAAACCAAACGTCTTTCCATGTAAATATCAATCAAGATACTGAAATTTGAATACGGCAAGTCCAACCCGTTGGTCGAAAACTCTTTGCGATGGAAACCTTCTCGACCCCTTTGTCGTAGAAGTTAGAACTGCGTAAATATACGAATACCATGCAGCGTAAATCTCAAACTTATCAAACTCCACTCGCTCTGGCCCCGTCGGTACAGGTACCACGTACCTCCGAGCGCAGCGAGGCCGACGGGGCCAGAGCAAGCGGACTTTTAAGTTTGCGTAAATCTCTTTAGTTTTCGCCGTGATGTATCCTCCACTGCTTGCTTCTTCGTTTGTATAAGGTTGTACATAATACATAGAGTATTCTCAATGTTGTTAAAATATCAAGTAATGCAATTGAGATAGCTTCACGGATCAAAAGCGGCGTCAAATCACACACACAAATCACAGTGAAACTTACGCATCACTCAAGAATTTGTGAAGAATTTGTAAGAATACGGAAAAATTACTCATTCGCCGTGTTTGTCAGACGGGGTTCCAAGCTGTGTCAAGTTGGCCTCTTTGGCGTAATTTCACGCTATAGCAACGGTCAAGTTGTTGGAGAATATATGTATGTGCTTTTTCCAAATTGAAACACCTTTGGGGGTGTCCTGAATCCTGATGTACAAACAGGATAGTTTGATAGGAGATTTTTTTAGCGAACTTGTCCGAGTTTTGACAAAAAAGACTTGAGACTGCTTAAGTAGAAAAGGTTTTTCATCCAGATCGTACCGTCTTATGTTCACTTCGGGGCACCTTCGAAGGGGTTACAATTCAAAAACTACGCAAAACTACGCATATTTTACAACAACGAACAAGAGGCAGTGTCCAGTTAGGGGGTTTCAAGTTGGTTTTTTTCGTGTATTTTTTGAAAAATCAGGCAATTTTTGGCAAAGATAATCTACGCGGTTTGAGCACCTAAAACCGCTTTAAAGAAATTACGCATATTTTACAACAACGGGCAAGTCGTTGTAGCGTAAAAATACGTAAAAAAGAGTCAACTTGAAAGTTGAAACCCCCTATTACTCGAATAAGCATACCCTTAATCACCGACCCTTAAGCAAGAAGCATGTATGTATGATCAATCCTGAGACAAAGGGAGTTTTTGAGTCCAGTTTTTACCCACTTCTATTAAGGGGTGTCAAGTCAAGATATTTACAACCCAAAAGTCAACCATTGACCACGAATGTCCTCAGGAACGTCTCATACGAATGTCCTCAAGGAACGTCTCATACGAATGTCCTCACCGAGCTTCCTGTCTCAGGGAAGGAAGGAAGAAACTGTGCAAAGACTGCGGCGGCTTAAACCGTGCTGGTGTGATCAAGCATACTGGCAATAAGACACTACATTCGAATTGCACTTCCGACTGCCCCGTATACCACGGCAAGCCAAACTTTTGTTAACAGTCTCTCCACCACCCATGCTGATGCCTACTTGATTTGCTGTATAGTCACCGATCTTGAATCATTCCCGTTTTCTTTGAAGACGCCTACCGTTATCAAAGGACCTCCAAAATGTACGAAGTTAGACACCAAGAATCAATATCTCTCACACAGCCTTGACTACTTCTTTTTTCGCAGGTGAGACTTCTAATCCCCATCCCAGCGCCTTGGCAAGGACGCAACATGATGGCCATAAAGCAAGCAACAAGACATCGCATCATGTATCTTTCGAAGATGACAGTTCAGGTACGTTACTCGCAGCTTCATGGATCCTCTCAGAACCTAACTTTCCGTGATTTTATGCAGAAACAAGCAGTGACACTGAAAGCAGAATTAATGATCAACTCGCGCCAAAACGCAAGATCAATGTAGGACAGCTCCGTACCACCATCGATCATGCAATACTACCGACCAAAAGCTTGCCAATCAAAAGAAGGAAAATACCAGCCGCTGAAATGCTTTCCATCCCAAATACCTCAAATTCTCACGGAGATAATCGGCGTGCGACGAAATGTCAGGTTTCTCCATCCACTGATCATAGGGAAAGTACAATAGGTATCTGCATCTGTCTACCTGGGGACCACGTACTGTTTTGATTCATTGACTGGTTCTACTTGATTCAAATTCCAGGGACCGGTATGGTCGTGGATGACGAAGTACAAACTCTGATCGAAACATCAAAAACTAAGGTTCAATACAGTGGTGGACCGAAGACCAGCCATCCTTGGATGACCACCATTGAATTTATTGTAGCCTTGACCTTCCTCTATCTTCTTGGAAAGTTTGTCTCTAGAAGGTTGGCCTTTTTTTTGCTTGCAGTGCTTCTTACTTCTTTTTTTTGACTTGCGAGTGACCTTTGTGGGCATCCTACACTCGCTTTGTCTCATTTATACGATTCACTTTCATTATCTATGTTGTATTTGTGCAAACAATTTGTTGGACAAATAAACTGCCTCTGGCACCCTGTTACGCCAAGCATTTTCGAAACGCAGCGAACTTAAAGCCAAACCCCAGACTCTGACGTTCGGAAAAGGGTTTCTGGAAGGATCTACGATATTGGGGCTCGTAGATTTGTCCCTGTTTCCGAGCGTTGATATTCAGAAATCGTGTCTTTCGGCAAATTCAATTTTTCCCGGCGCATTCTCTATTTTTGTATACATTCTTCTTTTTGGAATGTTCGCAAAATATAAGATTTCCAAATGTTCATCGCAAAAGGAACTCGCCGATGCCTGAAAGTGTAAATTTCCGATTCACTATTCCCAAACATTGATCTTTGCGAAAGATTAACCTCGGAAAATAATCTTTTTTCGGGCAATTGTTACTTGTACGTTCGATTTTTTCCGTTCGAAAAATCATCCAACAAATAGGGGGGCTCAAGTCAATTTTTTTTACGACTTTTGTCGTGAAAAACTTTGAGAACAGACCGTAAAGATTTTGACCTGAGCCCCCTTAATAGCGGAAAAAACATCGTAATTTTGGATAATACCCCCAAAAAGTTATTTTTCCATGCAAAAATTTGAAAGCCGAGCAAAATAAGCTAAAGAATCATACAAAGAAAGACTGAGACTGAGAACAAAAATTGGACCAAAGACTATTGAAACAGATGCAAATGATAAGATAAAAAATAGAAATAACGAAAAATGAAAGATACGAAACAAAAGATGAGAAAAAGATACGAAACAAAAGATGATAATGATAATGATACGATAAGAAATAACAGAAAGCTTAGTAATAATCAAAAACAAGAAAAAGAACAAATTGAAACCAGCAAGTAACTACGAAACCACTCCCCTTAGGCCTCCTTACGCTTTGTACGCCTAGAACCTCGCGCATTGATACCATCACCCTTCCAATATGGGTACTATTAGTACCAAAGTGAGGCGAAGGCGAAGCAAGTACTGGGTAAGGCGCAACAGGCTTGTTGAGAAGTTCGAAACTAAATGTTGGAATTCAAAACGAGTTCATGGATTTTGAGGAGCGTTCATCTTGTTCATGATTTAGTCTGAAGAAAAAGCAATTTACGCACGTAACTGAACACACTGATTCACTAGATGATTCCATTGGATTCGGCATGAGGTCGTAAACTCCGTGCTAGGGCATCAGCGCACGTGAACGTCTTGCACGCATTCGCGACACAGGTCTCGTTGTTATCTACGGAACTTATGTCAGCGTTGATGCCTTGAATCATCAAAGATGCAAAATCACTTACAGAACCCATGTTCACCAACGACAAACGTTCTGCCATGTGATTTGACCTGCTTGTTCAATCTATAGTTCACATGTCATAATTAGCTGGTGCTCAAGTCTTTGAGACGTATTGTAAATTGACTTACGCGTTGAAAAGTAAAGGAACACCGTCACCATCTATATTTCGACCAGAAAATTCTTGAGTGGGAAGTTTCATTTGGTGCAACGATGAAACTAATCTGTAATAAACTTACAAAGATGGTACGATAAGAAGCCCTACTCCTATTCATGCAAATCTCGGCCCTCGGTAATGGGGTAGTGGGTACATTGCCCTTTGAATCTGTGAGAAGCTGCAGCGGTCCACTGCTCAAGAGCCAATACATAAATCACCACGAGGTATGGTAGAAGGATTCATCGTCAGCTCCCCGACAAGATATTTTGATTTCTTGTATGGCCAATTGTACGTGGCTCTTTCTCGCTGCACAACCGCCTCAAACGTACATGTTTGCATCACTACGGATTCAGACCAATTGGAGACCAACAATATCGTTTTTGATCCTGTGTTAGGGTTTTAAATTCCTATCTTTCTTTTTATTGATAGTCACCGTTTGATTTTCCGAATCGATTTTTGATTGTCACATTGATTCAATTTTTCTCAATCTTTTTGCGCTTTTCAACTTTAGTAGTTTGTTTATTTGTACCAAACAAAATTGGTGAAATGGGTTTTGTAATACAGTCTCTGAATGTTTCATTGTCTGTTAATTACTTTTCATGTTGATTACAATTTTTTCATGGGTTGAGCTGCCACGTTTTATGAAAGACAAGGTGAGATTCTGTCATTTCAAAACCTTTCGGACTTGAATCTTTTTTTGGCAAATCGACAAGTATGGAGATGTCGCAACATCCAAGGAATTTTTTGGAATAAGCTTCTCTTTAGATAATGATTTACGCGACCTTCACATCACCGTTGTTGTATGGCTGAACAATATATCGTATTTGTTTTTTTGCAAGAAAATAACACTATGAATGTCTCAAATGTAACATGGGCCTTTTGGAATTTTGTCGAATTCTTTTACAAGCTTTTGGAAGTGGGGATGATTGTTTCGGAGGGAGCTCTTCAACTCCTATCCTGCGACTTTCTGGAAATTTAAAGAAAGCTACAAACCTCCAATTTCTCTCTTATCATTTCCTCTCTCAAGGCTTTCTCGAAATTCATAAAGCAATCTACAACAACACCACTTTCTTTCTTATTTTACATATTCCTCTTAACCTCGATAATCATGAATATGTCACCAGATGGAACTACGTTAGAAGTGGATGGCCAATATCTTGACCAGCTTTTCGCTGTTAGGGATAGATTCCATGACCGTAAGTAATCTATATGCATTCCATACATACCAACAGCAATACTTACATTTGATTTTGTTCAAAGGCGTTGAAGGAAATGCTCAAATAGACCACGATGACGGCAGAAGCTACAACGTTCATTTGTATGCCAATGTCGCGTTTCGAATGGTCGACAACACCGATGGAGTATCATGTTGCATATTCACTACTTTAAAATACCGGCCAAGAGAGAGTGAAGGTCAATGTAAGTCTCAATTGGTCCTGTTTTCCCAATCTACATATTTATTGATATCAACATCTATTTCATCTCTTAGTTAGTTCATGTACAATTTCGTCGGAAACTCCACACCATCGCTTGATCAGGCTTCCCAGTGCAGGTGGGGTACGAGCTGCGGTTTTATCTGAAGAAGAAATCCCAATGTTCTTACTCGAGGACTTCCTTGCGCGTGTGTGTAGCTTGAGAGATGTGGAAGTCATAACACATTGATAGTCTCAAAACTGTACTTTCTCCCTCTAATTCCCACAAAAACCAACCAAAACATGATCGAAGGATCTCATTGATAACTTTTTTTGTGATAACTTTCAGAGTTTTTATGTTCGATTTCCATAGTTTTGAATCTCTGATGTGTGATGTGCCTTTCCTTTTATGTATCTTTTCCTTTTATCTTATATTTTCTCACTCGTCATGGAATGAAATGGATAACACCTGATATACCTGGTTTACACGTGTCTGATTAAGATTAACCTTCTGTTTGAACACGCCCGAAAGGCTGAATGGTTCGGCAAGGTTCAATGGGTTCAGCTAGGATCCTTTGCATTAGGATATCATTTGTGTTCGATACAAGCGATATCAACACGGGCGAGAGATGACTTGATGAGAGCAAGTCATTTGAAGGTTGTCTATTGATAAACATTCACGTCACCACGATTCGCGACTTCAAGGCTTCTCAACCTCCGATCATCGGGATGAAGGTCATCTCTTGGACTTAAAAGCTGTAAGTCATTTCGATTTGTTCCCTTTTCTCATTGCTCCAAATCCATCCAGAGTTATAAATCATCCACCAACACTACTCTTTTTACTTTTATTACTTCAACTATTGTATTTGACTTCGCATCCACTACAATAGTTTTATTAGTTTTAAACTCGTCAACTTCAAGTCTTTTTTTACAAATCACATCATGTCTTCAACTGTTTCTTCCAACGTCATCGATTCTTCTTCAGATGTCTTAGCTCCTACCACACGTCTTCATATCTCAACCCTTGCTGTCAGTTCAGCAGCGGCAGGATCAATCCTCGAAGTAGTCATGTCTACTCGCGGAAGCGCTGAACGTGAACCCGTCTCGATCCCTTTGACTGCTCACCCGGGTGTCAAGGATGGCAAAGATCAGTGCATGAAGTGTGGCGTGTTTGGGCACCGTACATTTCAATGCGCTCAATTCTCATATTCAGCCGAACCGATCCCAGACTGGCGCCGTACAACTAACGGTAAGATATACAGTGTAAAGGCCTTACTTGGTATGCATCCTTACTGCAAGTGGACTGTAGACATGGTTTTGGAAGAATCCTCGAGGTAAGTGTCTTTGCTATATCTACATCTCAACATCAAAGATTTCTCACTCAAATCTTACCCGGTCAAAACCTTTATGATAATAGCCCATCAGCCACGCCCACCCCTGTCCCTACGAGTGTCGCATCCAAACCTGATAATAGCCCATCAGCCACACCCACCCCTGTCCCTGCGAGTGTCGCATCCAAACCTTCAAATGACGATTCGACCAAATTGGATATCCAATCGATGTTTTTTCAAATGGGTCGTTCGGCCAGGTCCGAGTACATTGGTTGTCCAACCCCCACCCCTCCGGCTACCTCGTCTTCACCATCATCTCTCCACCAAGCTTTCAATCCGTTCGTGACCTCATGGAACGATTGGTTCAAATTATGGAATGGGAACCCGTAAGTGGTTCTCTTGTATCAATCAAATTTTCAGATCACGATCTAAATAAAAGAACTGTCTTCTCTTTATGTAGCAAGCAACAGGATCACTGCTGCTGCCGCTGCCATAAGCGAACGTCTTACAGGTCGGATCCACATGACCGTCACCGTCGGGCGGAATCCTGTCCTATCGAGGAGTGATTGAATCAAGAATGTTCATGTCCTCTCTTGATATCCCATTGGCAAATCAAGATAATCAAACGTTACGTTACAGATAGTTACAAGTGATAGCAGTATTTCTTTATTATTATACAATTCAGTAGTCAATGGAAATGATACAAATTTACCTTTACTTTATACCACAATACAAGATGTGGGCAGATTCAGATTCCTCCAAGTTGTCGTGATTGATTGTAGTTTCTTTTTTTCTATTTCTTTCATGCTTGCTTTACTCCACGATACAAGATGTGGCCGGATTCTTATATGTTCTTTTTCTATTTCTTTCATCCTTGCTTTACTCCACAATACACGATGTGGTCTGATTCTTATATGTTCTCTTTGTACTACTAGGTACGTGATTTGTGAGCAAACATTCCAATGTTTCGTTCTTGTGGGTAAAGTTATGAGTTATGATGTTGTACTACATATATGTTTATAGTGATAGTGATAGTGATACACGATACTACACACCATGCAAATCAAAAATTCGATGTTGTCTTTCGCAGGCTCTTTGAGCTACCAGCGCACGTAATTATTACGTGTAGTGAGGCTGCGCTAATATCAATCAAATCAGGAGGAAAAGAGCTATCATGAAGGCGGTTTGATATTGCCGTTGGCGAGTATGTAGTCTATGAGCTAAAGCGCCCTGCAAGAATAACGAACACCGGTGATAACGAAGGAACTTCTCTCAAAACAAAAAACCAACCTATAAGAGTACCCACTTTGAGTACGGTTAATTGTATCGTTTCGGTTTTCTTTGTTACTCATCATTATCTCTCAGTACCATTCTTGAAAATAACATGTAGGTCATCATTTATCGTGACTTGTACAAGTTAGATGATGCATGTATCACAGAACAATCGATTTTGTGCAAATCAATTAAATATCTTTCAAGGAAGTCATGAAAAATCAATAATATGGAGATTGCTGTTATTACATGAATAGTCTTTATTATAAAAACACAATTGGTTTCTGATTTGTTCATCTGTCGGATTAAAAAGCCTCTATGTACACATCAATTTCTTTTTTTTTGTTCACGGTGTGCTCTTGAAACAGACAAAGCTTCATATGCTTCCCTGATCTGATAACAGAGAGACAAGATGAAAGGAACAAAATGTTTCAAAAAGGACCGGAAATCTGGAGTAGCAAATAAATGGATACTCACTTGCTGGAAGGCAAGGGCGTCCCCACCCTTGTCCGGATGGAAGATCAAACTACATCGCCTATAGGCCTTTTTGATTGCAATTTTGTCGGCCGTATGTGAAAGACCTAAGCGCTGAAATTGCAGAAAAACAGTTGCAGTGAGAAATTTGTGTGGGTAGTGTCGCAAAAAGCAGAGGAATTACTTCGTAAAAGTCAAGTTTCTTCATGGTGAAGCAGTTGTTTTCGTGATTTCCACCAGGTTTTGGTTTGGTCGCACGCGCATGGACCCTAGCCAGCCAAAGGAAGTGTTGATGGCGTTGGTCGATGTATAGATAGTGAATTGGACTCCATAATCTTTTTAAAGTATTGTGGACATCTTGAAGCTGGCCGAGAGAGAGCAAGGCCTCCGCCAAAAGCAGGTGAATCTTAACCAATTCGTCTTTCATACTTTCTCCAATACCAGTGCATTTTTTTTCCTCCGTTCGACGTACTGCATTCCTCAAGAGGACCACAGCATTCTGCGGCTGTCCCTCAAAAAGATATTGAGTGCCATAATTATAAATAAGTTTCAAAGATTCCAAAGATTCTCTTTGATCGTCTGTTTGCAGGACGCTCCGATCTTTCTCCTTGGTCAACATGAATTTAGGTACATCAGCTAATCCTGCATATTTAGGCATGAAAGTCTGATCGATCAGATTGTACTGACTTGTTGATGAGATATCAGGGTCAGCTGGGTTCGTACCTCAAGATACAGTCGCGATAAATCCTTGAAAAGTGGATGTGTAACTTCAATCGTCAGTAGCCTATTAGGACGCCAAACATCCTCAAGGACTTCGTGAGCCGTTTCCGCTTTCTTCAGGTTCAAGTAGCACTGGGTGAGATTAAGGCAAACTTGAACCATATTGGTATCGGGGTACCCTGGAATGCTCTTGGACTTTTGCTCACGATGGAGACACAAGAGCAAACCAAAGCGATGGGCAGCTAGCAGAAAGTTGCGGTCGTTATATGCTCCTGATGCTTGAACATGTAGAGGAGGAAACATTTGTGCTTCCTGCGGAGAAGCTCATGGGTTATTTGCCTTTCCTGAAGTCAAAATACATGCGGGACAAACTGACCGTTGAATTTTCCTTGTAACGCTTGCTTGGATAGCAGGGATCTGCATCACAAGCATCTGGTTTGAGGTTGTCTGGTTCAGTAGGTTCGGCCTGCCGCTTTTTTGATTTAGATAAAACCGCCGGCGAAATTGGGGGACCTCCCACAGAGTCATGCGAATCGAATCCGGTGGAGATGTCCATGTTTGAAAGGTGGATATCCAAAGCGTTATGAGGTTTAGCATCGTCACAAACTGGTACTTATAGGAAATTATCGTGATACACTTGTCGCCAGTATTGACACAGGTGAGTATTGAGGTGATACACACTGATTGGAATCGTTGAGACGCACTGATCAGTGAATGTTGATCAATGCGCAGCATCAGACCAGTCACATAGGGCGAGAGATACAATCAGAAGAGTTGATAGGTTTTTTGAGACTGTTCAGCGTATACCAGTATGGTGATCTGAGCCTCAATACCTTAGGGCCAGTTAAGCTAAGAAGGGTCGCTAAGAAGGGTCGGGCTGACACCCATAAACCTTTGTTCTTTAGCTGATTCGTACATGAGTGATATCGAGAAGTTGAGGAGTCATTGATGGAGCCGTCTGACTTTTGCCTTTCAACGTTTAAGTTGGTTAGCATCATGCGGACGAGAAGAAAGGTAGAAGATGATAAGGCTGATCCCAATTGACTGATCATGGGGGTTACCTGAGTGTGTTCAACCAAAATAGCTTGAGGTTGCTTTTGATATATTGTTTTTACCGGAGATGTATATAAGTCATCTAGCGGTGACTCAAGAACGACCCACCATCTCCGCCAGATATCCTCATTCACAACATGTCCAACCAGCTCAATTCCTCGTTCACTGAGCCTCAGAAACCTCTCTTGGATCTATCAGACGATACTCGAAATATCGGTCATGTTATCCATGACAGAACGCCTAACTTTCCACGGCTCCTTCGTTGCTTCGTCCACCACCTCCTGCGAATACTATCTACGCTCATAACTTTCTCCTTCAGATTTTTCTCCCACCCCTTCATCCTCCTCCCCGCCTCTTTCCTTTGCATATCTTTGACCGGTTTGGCCCTCGCGTCTACAGCATCCAACCTCGTTATCAACTGCTTCTCGAATCACGTGTTTCAACTTATCTCCCTTGTAACCCCTTCATTCGGTCCCATAACATACTTCTACTGCACCGTCCTCGCCGGCCCATATTTTTGTCCACAAACCGTCAATCCACCAGAAACGACAGTGTCCCAGCTCACCCGATCCATATCAAGAAATGTGATGGTTGCATCCGACATCTTTGACTCTATCATGGTGCTTGGAAATCCTTACGACCTAGCGTTTCATCAAGGCGAAATTCTAGAACTTGCCCTTGCCATTGAGTACTCCACAAAGGTTGACCACAGGGATGCCCTAGCGCAGCGGCTGTGGGAGCTATCTGAGCTGACTAGCAAAGTGAAAGATGAAGTGATCAGTCTCAACGGTTGCGGAATCAACACATTTTCGTTTTTGGCCCATGAAGTCCGTTTTCTTCACCTCGTCCCTTTGTACCCATAAACATCACTGATATGATATTTCATGATCCGTATCTTAGTACTCAAGGATCGAAGAACTGATTGAGCATGTTCAATCTGGTCATCCGACGTACACAACCCAAACCGTCTCTCACAACCTCGATATCCTGTTTGGTCATCTCTCGTCCGACCTTTCTCGGCTTCTTTCGCAGATTGAGGGGGCCATCCCGCTCGTTTCCCGGGCAGCTGACCTCGGGACCCGGCTGGCTCGTCAGCTATCTGAAGAACATCAAAAGTTGATCACGACCAGACAATCTACACCACTCTGGAGGAAGCTTCTGGACCACCACAGCAAGAGCGCGATGCAGCTGAAGCACGATATTGCCCTTACCTCTGGAAGCATCGATCGCTTGGTACGAACCTGGAGGCAACTCGAGATTCTTAGGACTCAATTGGTGGCCTATCGTAATCATGTTACTGGTTTCAAGGTGCGCTGGTTCCTTTTTGCTGTGAGAAATTTGAGTCCTGATTAGTATCTCGGTTTTGCGGTAACTTCACAGGCATCGTTTGGCGCATTGCACGTTGCTGATCATCAATTGTCAGCTGAAGATGAAGTCCGAGCCATGAGACATATAATAGGTCGCCTCCGAGATACAGTAACAGCCTCGAAAGAAAAGACATGGAACACGGGCAAGCAATCACTGGACTGAGGATCTTCTTGTGTCTTGGAGTGGGTAGTTTCCAGGGATCAGGTTGAAGAAAAATAGAAGATTACATACTTTTGTTTTATCCATAATGTATATATGTATCTGTTATTCTCTATTTAGTTTCATTTTCTCATAGAAATTATTATCACCTTTCTTCCTTGAAAATACGGGTACTGCCTGGATCCCTTCATCTGGAACCATGAAGTCATTGGCTATCTGTCAACATCCACACGAGAAGGGGTGGCGCGAGCTTTTTCTTGACAGGCAAAAATGTGATCTTCAACTTTACGCAAACTCACTTTTACGCGTAAAAATACAGCATCCCCTTGAAAAATATAAACAATCACATCATTATTCACAAGGGAAAATAAACATACACCACGCAAGAGTAAAAAAAGATTGACAATTTATATGAACAGAATATATACAAAGAAAAAGGAGTTGGGACAAAGCGACAGCCTTTTGATTCCGCGCAAGAGAGTGTGAGTTTCAGAATAGATATACATCTGTATACTCAGCCCGGTCAAATATGATATTAATGGGCGTCGCTGTGACTAAATACGTAAGGTCATTCAGCACATCATATATCACGCATAAATTAAATCAGGAATAGATAATGAGGGGAAGAACTCCGGCGTACCCGTGAGTTGTTCACCAAAATCCTCGTTGTTATGTATGAGATTTGCCAACGGAATCATCGATGTTTTGACGTTTATTGATGGACGTTGCTGTGAATAAACACGCAAGGTTAGTCAGCACATATATCACACACAAATCAAAACAGGAATACATGTATGTAATGAGGGGAAGAAGTCTGATATACCCTCAAGTTTTTCGTCAAAATCTTCAAGTCTCTGGCGTTTCAGCGAAGCACTTTCAGGCTCAATTACATCTCCTTGCGCAATAGGCCCAGGCGGGTTTGGATCAGCGGTTGTTAGAAGGGCACCGACGTGAGGATGGTACGACTCGTCTGCCCCCGGCGTGAGCTCAGATGCGATAGTATAACTTAAAAAGGACGGCATAGGGTAAGGATCAGGTGGATATGATCTGTAAGTGATCTCGTGACTGATTATTATGGATGAATTGGTTGATCGCGTTTCTGAAGTCCCAGAATTTGAAGTCGCATCCGCAATCGAGATACTGTCTGGGTTATGCTGACTTATGCTAGTAGAGCCATATATGTCATCATTTATAGTGGCAGCCGCGTTCGTAGCTTCATCGGAACTTGGTATGTCAAGGGTATCGTGAATTGGGAAGTCGACATTGACTTCGTAGGCTGACTCTAAGTCCGAATGAGCTGGGTAGGTATAGCATGGTCCACTCCTGCGAACTCGACAACCCTTCATTACTAAATTAGAAAGATACAGAGGGTCAGTCCAATATCTGACCAGGATGTTCACAAAAGAAACCAACTTACGAGCCCATTCTTGCGCCTTCCTTAGACGCTTACTGAGAGAGCCAAACAGATGCGCGAGGGTATTCATTCCCGAAGCGATATGTAAGAAGCAAAACAAGACTAGAAATATGATATAAAACAAATATCAAAAAAAATCGTGCAAGGGTAAGAGAGGGTGAAGAAGAGAGGAGGGAGAATTCAGCCTAGACAGAACAAACAAGATGACGAGAATGCAAGGCACATCCCTATAAGTTAATTTGACCAGATTGACAAAACGCGAATTGACAAAAAGAGTCTTTACCCTCAAAGGGATTTGTACCTTCAATTAAGAGCGTAACGATAAAAGGGGGTCTGCATACTCTTATCAAGTGTTTTTATCTATGATATTCTTCCGGAATGTATATGGAAGAAACGTGGGCCCGCGGTGTGGAAATAAACAAAGCTTAGCCATTATCCTTTTGAACACTGAAGAATCTGTAGAACAAGATTGTGAGTTGACCTGGGGGTGACTTCATGTCAGTTGTATCTACTCAACTCAAGGGTGACCACGTTATTGACGATCGATAGAATTTTGATCCAGGAGCGTGGTCGAAGTGGAACTAACCCAACATCTTCAGACAAGGAAGCGGGGCTATCCAGCCCAGAGATAGCATGATCTTCCCGAAAATCTTTGTCGTTTGGTTGTGGAACAAGTTACGATGGATGTTGGATCACTCCCGTGTGCTCGTGAAGAACTGGTGTATGTACATATGTATGCACGCGGAGTGCTGCCGCGGAGCGGCACGCACGAAACAAGGATTTTAAATCAGAGAGGAGAGAAAATCGGATAAGACACGAACTATTCAAAATTCTAAACCCACTACCACACTTTTTAATGACATTCTCCATTTCTTCACCTTCTTTCAGGAATCAAGGTTATCCGATCATACCTACCAACATGAGATCAATTCCCAACGCGCCACCGAGTTGAGCATCTGGGTTCTACGTTATCTTAGACTTGGACGATATTATGTTGCGGCAGAGAATCTCTTAACTTTTATGTATCCAACAATCCAATTGCCTCAACAAAGACGAGATTTCCAAAATCCAATTCGCAAAAGATAAGGCTCAAGCTCTGGTTCAAGAACAGGTGACCGATCTACGAACAGCCTATCAAACAATGGAGGCGACTAAGATGGAATTACGGCAAGAGCTTACCAGTCTGTTTCACACGGCTTCAAAAAACCGGAAGACAACTTCAGAGGCTATGATGTATGATATATGCTACTCGCTTTGCCCGGCTGATAATAGATCTTTGGACTGAGCTGATACAAAAACCTGCCGCGTGAATAATCGAAGGGATGTCGGTAATTGTTCTACTAGCCACTCATTTAATGTATCACCAGGACCAAAAACGTGTCACCTTTGGTGTGACGAACGAACCTCACGACACGACGCAGATAGCGAAACATGAATTTCCGTGTTTTCTCTCTTTTGTCCCAATACAATGGGGAAAATATCAACCATAAACCACGCCCTCTCAGCTCGACTCATCTACTTCCATCATTTCCCTTTCCTCTTTATATTTGGTCCTTTTGTATCCTAGAGTAAGTTCTTTGTTGTTACCCTTGCTCCACCTTGGGGTAGAAAACAGGGCCGCACTTAGGTTGACGTACTCTCGGAGTGTGTACATGGATACCTTTCAAGTACAAAATGTTGATCATACATAAGCGCGCCCAAGCTTGTGCATTGAACCTCATGACTGAGCCTTGTTAGGTGTTGTTGCGTGCTGATCATGCTGAACCAACCAGCTTAGTTTGATTGCTGATCCATCATGGCCCCGCGCCTGAGAATTTGTTTAAACTTTCAAGAAGTGCAACAAGAAAGGAGTTTACGCGAAGAAACAGGGCGGGCTCAAGCTCAGGGTATTTTGGAAGGTATTTCTGTTTAAATCCGCGCCACTCTTGATATCTTCTGTCTTCAATCTGATATCCTTTTCCGATGATCATGACCTCTACCACAAACGCAGAGTCTTCTTTTCTGACCCAAACTTCCAAAACTTTCTCGGACCCGATGCAGGTCCCAGCCAACATCACGCATGTCAATTCTTCATTTCCAAGCCCCACGTTCAAACCTTTCTGCGATGAGCTACACATCCCCTCCATCACCTTTGAGGATTTCCTAAACGACCCGGAAAAGATTCCACAGCTACCCGGGTACGAGGAAGAGTCAGATCCCGAACACTCTATACACAGTGAGGAACACCTCGAATCGCCTCAACAGATCTGTTCAGTTTTGTATTCTTCATCACCTAAAGACGCTCAAGACCTGAAGCAAGGAGCTTCTGAAGCGCAGGTCTGGCCTAAGAAATCTTTGCAGAGCTCGTTGTCTCCAGGCGCATGGCATATATGGACACCGGCATCCAGATTTTTCGCAGGGGGTATATTAATCTTGAATATGTTTTTGTGTCTTTACATGTAAGGAAGTTGCTTGATGCACCCCTTTTCTCTGAATAAGCAAGCTTCATCTACTAAATACGTTTGTTAATGTCCTTGATTACAGATTAGCACCAAACACGATCCCATGGCATCGTGAAACTCATTTGCTGACAAGGCTAAGGCAAGGTATGGACTCGGACGAGATCACCTCTGTTCAGCATACTTCCGAAAATATTGTCAAATCAATGAAAGAGCTATGCCTCGAGATGGACCGTCAAGCAATTGACACACTCCCCTTACAAGAAATTTCAAGCTTACTGCGACTTCAACCAAACTTAAGGGGTTCTTTTGAGACTTCAGTGATCCTCTGGGATCTTTCAGATGCTGTCAATTTGGTCGGTGACAAGTTGCGTCAGCTACATGGTAAAGGGCACACCGAGATGGGGTTGCTCACGCAAGAGGTTGGTAAATTACCTGTCCCTTCCGTTTCTTCTACTTCAACTGATATTCTTTTCTAGTCTAAGGTGCTCTTGAACCAGCCACATCTTCCAAGTAAATTACAAATTCCTCAAGAAATGCTTGATCAAACTTTATACATCTTTACTCTTCTCCAAAATATTGCCAACTCGATAATTAAGGAGATTCGGTTGACAACAGAAGCCAATCAGGTCGCAAAGCAAAACCTTTCCGGAATTGAAAGGACTCTACGTGCAAGTCTCAATTCCTGGAGCATCTCGTATTTCTCTGGAAGCTCGAAATATCGTGCATCAGGCCTCCTCCTGAATTCAATCAGGTTAGCAATAACCCACACCGGAGAAATTGCAACATATCTACAGAAGGTTAGGCGTATGATCCAGCTCTACCACGACAACGCTCAATCCTGGCTAGTAAGTACATACAAGCACTTTTCAAGGATGAATCTATATCCATTTCAGTTCACTAACTTCTGGCAAACAGGATATGGCTCAAAGACGAAACGAACCCTTCAGGAACTCGGTTGATGGAAGTGCTATGCAGTGCCTTCTCTTGTTGAATACACTTGATGAACACATATGGAACGGACAAGTAGAGAAACCCCTCTTAGGCACCACTAGGAATCCAGTATGATATGAGTCACATAGCATTTGCGTACCTGATCAAGTGTTTAAACTTGATTGGCTACTATAAGCAGTCTGATTGTCTTTTTTCTTTCCTTTCTCATCTGACTACGTTCTACTCCTTATCATTAGAGTATCCTTGTATTTTTCATTCTGATAGTTTTTAAATTTGTTTTTGAAGTTGCCGTTAATAAGGTGCTGTGTTTACTTTTGGATTTACACAAGTCTTCCGGCGCACATTGTGAGATGTGTAAAAGTCCATATGGAGAAGATCCAGATGAACCTTCGTGCTAAACCACACCAAATTGGGATTGGGCAGACTGATGCAAATAAGAGTGCAACACCAATCAAGCACCCTTTTGTAGGCCCCGTGTCACTGAAATTGCGTCAGCGGACACTGACTCGCGTTGATCTTAGTTAAGCTCACTTCCACTACGGGCAAAGATAAGATTTATCATAATAAGTCGAAGGACTCTGAAGTTGGCACCTAAGCACACGCCACAATATTTGTCGTCCGACCACGCCCAATTCGGTGGCAGATTTCAAACCACAGCTTACTTAGATCACTATGCCCAACCAGAGCACCAGCCACCGCCCCTCTCGCAGTCACATCCGCGGCGAGGAAAGGGACTTCTACGGACATGGTATTGGTAAAAAGTGGGGTCTTATGGTCAAGCTTGTGATCGCCCGATCAATACGCCGATGGTATTTCATTGTCTTCTGCGCCTTGGTGTTATGGTTCTTCCGAAGTAAGCATTTTATGAGATTACTTCTTTGTTAGTATACTTACCTGGTCCTGAGTTAGACTATTCGGCGAAGTGTCATATCACCAACAAGAAATTGACTGAATTAGAAGCTGAAGTCCAATATATCCGAGAAGGCAACATACCAGGGGATACTTCCAAAACGTTGAACATCATGAATGAAAAACTAATCGAACTGGGGAATCAAGTCCGACGTATACAAGAAACAGAAAACCTCCACCCCGTGTTAAACGAGTTGCGCATGACGGAAAAGAAAGTAGTTGACTTGGAAACGCAGGTCCAATACCTCCAAGCGGTTCACAACTCCTGGATCTCTGCCATCTCAACAGTCCCCGACAACATCGGCTCATGGAACGACAAAACGACGCTTCAAGTACCTGGTCAAATCGCCCAGCTATCGCAAACCCCTGAGCCGGAATTCCACGACTCCACCCAGGACATCATCAAAGATACGATGATGAAAATCGGTCGGGCATTGCAAATGATTGAACATTTCAAAACGGTTGCGCAGGACGCATTGAAGACATGCACCAAGGACAAGGATGGTCGTCGTGATTTTGCATTTCTACAAACCGGGGGTTCGGTGATCGCTAGCCTTACATCGAAATCAATAAGTCTTAACAGTAGTTTACCCGACCACCTCAAGTCCCCAAGAAGCTGGAGAACTCTGTTTGACTCCCTCATGAGTGGACGCCCCTCGGTGACGCTACCTGATATTGTTTTGATTGGCAATGGGTCAATTGGTGCGTGCTGGGCCTTCAGTGGCTCAAAGGGACAAATAGGTATTGCCCTAAGTGACCCCATCAACATCTCTGGCGTCACAGTTGAGCATATTGGAAAAGAGTTGGCTGAAGATAGTATAAATGTAGCCCCTAAAGATTTCGAGCTTTGGGGTCTGGTTGAGGGCAAAGATAGACATTCCGAATTTTTTTTATTTAGTGGCTTTTATGATACATCAAAACCTTCAGTCTCTCAGACCTTTGAATTTACGCCAACAAAAGAAGTTTACAAAAAGGTCATCTTCAAGATCAATTCAAACCATGGCAACCAACATTATACATGTATTTATCGTGTGAGGATCCATGGAGTTGTGTGACTCGAGCTGCGTGATTAGTGGTCAGCTCATTAATCTCACTTCCAATTTTTCAACAGCTGATTGAATGACTCCTATTTGGTATCAGGTGGCAGCCGCTGCTTTCCGTTTGTCATACTTACATCCTCAAGCCCTATTGTCAGTTTGTTTTCAGAGTAGAATCTTCATTCCTGCATGGCATGTCATACAAACGACATACAGTACAGAAAGATGATGTTCCATAAGTATAGAGTTTGAAATGAACCTCCATCAACATCTTCACTTGTGAACCTGTTATCAATCTGACTTACCATTTAGCATGTATTGCTTCAGTTTCAGAGATTATTACTAGAAACTGTTGTTTTGATTTTGGTCTGGTTAAGTAGCTGGCAGTAAATATTTGCTTGGTTATGTTGGTCATCATTGAAATTTTAGTAAAGGACTTATACATCTTGCTCTGAGACCTGTTGTCTTTGTCTCGTACATCAAACTCTCAGGGCTCAATGTTTCGAAATATTTCAAGACGATAAAGAACATTACCATGAATGGTATGCGTTTCTACATTGTATAGTCAATCAAGAAAAATGGAAGCGGGTTAACTTATTCTGTAGTCATTACCTCAGATCGTCTCTCAATTAGTTGTGATTCTAGGTTTTCATGATACTCAGAGGCCCGTTTGGGCACAGCCAGCTAGGCTGAAGGAGCAGAGGGTGCTGGTGCGAATTCATTTCAGGATGTAGATGTCTAGTAGCTAATACAAAGCCACTGATCTCACGCTTTATTGACTGGGATTACTTCGGATGGGAGAAGGCGACAGAAAGTTGTGGGATTGAGTCGCACCAAGGAATGTGATGTTGAATCGCAGTTAGATCAAGCGAGTTGACGATTCCCTCGGATGGTTTTCCGGCGATTCAATCGATTAATTCGCATGGAGGGTTGAGTCACATACAGGCGCAGCGAAGCTGAATCGCGCGAGGATCACGTCGCGTTGTGCTGATGCGATCTTGTATCGGTTGAGGATGAGCTCACGCTGAGTTGACGCGATGTGAAATCGCATTTGAGTCAAATCACAAACAAGTATGCGATATCACAGGTTGCATCGCGTGAAATCTGTGCGATGTCACATCGCACAGGCTTTTCATCGCCTGGCACATGTGCGATGTCACATCGCATCTCACCCTGCGACGTGAACGCGCATACCACGATGCGACCCAATTTTGTTGGAGGTGATTTGTATATACTTGTTGTTATTTAGGCACTTTCCAATCAATGAATCAGTCTTCTTCTACGTCGTATCTCTTACACTCCACTCCAATAATTAATGAAATTGGAACTGATAACAGAGCAAAGAGGTCGAGCTTATGCTTATAAAGTCCTTCTTATATAACAAGATGTTATATATAAGATGAACTTTGTACAAATCAAATTATTTCATGTTTGTTCATAACTCGCAAAAGTGACAACATACACAAAAAATATCTACAGTTAAAATTTTTTTATGGAACAATAAACAGAGTCACAAGCAGGTAGGCTTTATACACATCTCAACCAAACAAACTTAACAGATGAGAAAAGGCAAACGAGTGACTGGAAAATAAAAAAAATACAAGGGAAAAACATCTCGACCAAACAAATTTAACAGATGAGAAGGCAAACGAGTGACTGGAAAATAAAAAAAATAAAAGGGAAACCAGTGACAGGAAAAACTATGAGGGAAACAACTGAGCATCTACTGATAGTTAGTCCTCCTGTGGACCAAATTTGCCCCATATGTGGTGCACAAGATTGTCGCGTAGAGAGACATGATTAGCTTTTGCGCGAAAGGCTCGCCCTTGCATGAAACACTCAAAAGTCGCAGCCGGTTGAGGAAGACGAGGTGGAGGAGGTACCGGGGGATCAAAGATGTCTACGTCGTTAGCCCCTCGAGGTTCTTGGGCCTGGTCCTCGACGATCATGTTGTGCAGTATGATGCAACAATTCATGATCAATGACAATGTAGACGGTTGCCACATTCGAGCAGGACCTTTGATAATTGCAAAACGTGCTTGCAAGACCCCAAACGCGCGCTCTACGTCCTTTCAAACGGATTCTTGCATTTTCGCAAAAAGCTACAGGAAAAACAAGAGTCAGAAACGTGTAATAGAATGATTTGTGGGACAAATGAACCTTACGTTAGCTCTGGGATCTTGTGCACAAGTGAAAGTCTTGATGAGGGTAGCCCAATCCGGATAGATACCGTCAGCGAGGTAGTAACCAGTGGTGTACTCCTGGCCATTTACTGTGTACCGGCAGGGGTGAGCAGTACCCAAAGATAGGTCCTGAAATAGATTGGATCGCTCGAGAACATTGATATCGTTTAGACTACCAGGTAGACCAAAAAACGAATGCCACATCCAGAGGTTGTGACTCGCCACGGCCTCAAGAACCAATGTCGGAGAGCCTTCCTTGCCAGTGTAATGGCCCTTCAACGCCCGCGGGCAGTTCTTCCACTCCCAGTGCATGCAATCGAGGGAACCGAGCATGCCTGGAAATCCACGGTCAGCGTTTTCGGCAAGGATAGTCTTCAAGTCGTCAGGGGTAGGTTTACGTTGATATTCTTCCTTGTAAGCAACGATCACTCCGAGGCAAAAGCGTTTAAGGGTTTCGATGGCCGTAGATTCCCCAATACGTAGATACTCGTCTTGGGCATCGGCCGATGAGCCGTACGCAAGTTGCCGAATAGCAGCGGCACACTTCTGGAATGGGGATAGACCCAGTTTACCTTAGTACATACAGACATACAATACAAATGATAACAGTCAAGGTCAATAATTGGCTTTTCGAATCAGAAAGAATCCAAAAACAAAAAAGAAATTACCTAGAGCGTCTCTTCTCTGCGTGAAGTAGGGGTCCCCCTCACCTAGCTTGTTCATTATACGAATAAACAACCGACGACTCATTCGAAACCGACGCCGGAACAGCAATTCCCCATAAACTGGGGTGAGATTGAAGTAGTCCCTTAAAAGGCCAAAGTTACCAGTGACACAGTCTCGGGCTAGATTGGGGGATTTTCCGGGATAAGATCCACCAGGACCTCGTGGAATATGTAAGGTAGCGAGATAGTCCAGGATGTCTTGGTTGTGCACTCCAAGGACAGCAATGAGTTCTGAGGAGAGACCCGCGATGACTACGAATTGTGCGATGAAGGATGGATGAATAAAATACTCAGGGGGCATTGTGATGAAATAGAACGTAGATATAAAGCAATGGCGTTGAAGAGATTTAGAAAGGTATTGAATAATAACAATTGGACACAGGATCAGATGAAACAAGAGTGAAGACAGGAGGCAAGGAAGGAAACAAACGCAAGTTAGCCAGCTCTTATCAAGATCAAGAGCGGACAACGGTGTATTTACCTGTTTGTTTGTACTATGCACAACATTTTCATATATATTTACTTTCCCTTATCACCGCGACCGATCACTAACCAAGCAATGACTATCTGGATGCTCGTTTGGTTCAGAGTTTGGCATCTTGGGCATCTTGGCCAAGGGTTGGAACTCAAAATGAGTCAAAGAATTATACCGCATGTGCGCGGTGGAGGAAACGAAGCTGAATAGACAATACAGCTGTCATTACGTTTTCAGATTGCTTTTTTTGGGTCTGTATTCGGTTTACAGACCAGGTCCGCGGTGGAGATGCTCTTAGATATGCAGATGATGATTCGGATGGTATGAATGAACAGACTACGCTCTGCTTTTGATGAAGAAGTGAAGAGAAAGAAATGACGAAAAGAGACTGAAGGGGATTGTAGAATTGAGAGAGAATTGAGATTTATGAAGAATGAAATTGAAATTTGAATTAAAATAAAAGTGCTCGTGCTCGTGCTTGTGCTTGTCTAGGCTTGTCTAGTGCATCTTTTAAATAAAGTAAGACAGATTGATTGAGTTAAGACTTGAATTAATCGAATTGATAGATCAACTAACAACACTGACTAGAACAACCATCAAGACTTCAATCAGCAGCCTAAAGCTACATAATCGATTTCAGAGAAAGAAATCAAGAAAGAAATCAAGAAAGAATGCCAATAAACCTTCGAATTGGATCAAGTTGGTCGACTCATTCGATTTTAAAAAGAAAAGATAAAAACAAATCAAACAAATCTAACTCAAACCATCATCAAGATCACAATCAAATCATCAGAGAAGAAGAAGAAGAAGAAGAAGAACAACAACAACAACAACAACAACAACAACAAGAACACTCATTATCATCACTTCATATAGCCAATCAATTCAATCAGACTCATTCAAATTCAAATTATCATCATTTACATCCTACACCACCTTTACCTAATCGACCTACTTCAAATCTTCATCAACAATCCTTCAACAATCTAAATGATTCTTCTTCAAATTCAAACTTACCTTCTTTACAACCATTCTCTCCTGAATATACAATTGCTATCTTACATATTCAAAACATTAGTTCGGCTATCAAAACTACCATCGAATCTAGATTAACTTCAACTGGTTTCAAATTCACTTCTCAACTTACTATAAACCTTTCGGAAGATCATCAAGATCATCTGATAAACGATCTGAGTCCAATCGCTAAATCTGGTTTTCAAAGTGGTTTAAATTTGATTTATCTTTTAAACAGAGCTAGAGCTATACAAGTTTGGAAAGATTTAGTGGGTCAATCTAATTTCATTCCTACTACAAATCATTCATCGGATTCTACTCCTACTACTATCTCAAGACCTGGTTCTTTATCTTCAATGTTTGGTAAAGATGTCATTTGGGCTGCTGAAAATTTAGAGGTAGTCTATGAATTGATTTGTAAGTTTTGGTCAAAAGAAGATTATAAATTTAACCCTCAATTCATTCAACTTCAACAACAACAATCAAGATCTCAATCTCATCATTCTTTACCTCAATTCCATTCGTTTCATTCGTCTTCTGCTTTGAATCTCAATCCTCATTTACATTCATCTCCCATTCAACTTTCTTCAAGCGAGAATGGACTTGAAGATCCTACAGCAAAACCAAAGAAAAGAGTCTTCAAATTCAGTCATCAAGTTTCTGATGGTCCACCTGATATCGTCTCAAAGGGTATGTGTCTTCAAAAAACCTTTTCTTTGAGCTCCGTGAATTCGTTGGATCTGACCTATATCAAACTCATTTCATTCTTCTACAATTTGTAATTATGCGTACGCCTTTCTGAACTTGATCATCCGAGAACTATGCCGAATGAACAAAGTCGCCTTCCATAGTTTAATGAGACATCTTGAAGGATACCTTGAGGATACAAAGAACGTCACGGTCATGGAACAAATCATGATCTTTCTTTTTGTTGTTGGAAACGCTGGCTCGAACGCTCTCGCCTCAGAGAGGTTTCAACATTCTGGAGAAACGATCTCACGATATTACAATAAAGTCCTCTTAGCTCTTGAGGATCTAGAGGCTCGCTTGATTGTCCAGCCAAATCCAGGAGCTCCAGTCCCACAATCAATCAGCAGCACTCCATTACTGTATCCATGGTTTCAAGGTTGCGTTGGAGCTATTGACGGAACCCACATTCAAGCCATCGTTCCAGAGGCCGACCAGGCTCTGTACCGTAATCACAAAGGAACATTCAGTCAGAATGTCCTGGCTGCCTGCGACTTCGAAGGCAACTTCACTTTCATCCTCGCAGGATTTGAAGGAAGAGCGCACGATAGTCGTGTTCTTCAGGTGGCACGCCGAGATGGACGCTTCCTAGTCCCACCAGGTACGTCAATGTTTCAATACATCATCATTAGAAAGCTTATAATGACAATGTACATATGTATTTAGGTCGATACTACCTTGCTGATGCTGGATACACCAACCAAGAAGGGTTCTTGGCCCCTTACCGAGGCACCCGCTACCATCTCAAACAATGGAGTATCGGTGGACGTCGCCCTTGAGACTACAAAGAGCTGTACAACTTACGACATTTGGGTCTACGCAATGCAATCGAACGGATGTTTGGAGTTCTTAAAATCCGATTTAATACACTTGTACACATGCGAAGATTCCCGGTTCAAAGACAAGGGGCTCTTGTGGTGGCTCTAGCAGTCCTTCATAATATCATCCGGAAAAGCGGCGAAGACTTCTTTTTTGAAGAGTTTGATTGACAAGAAAGAGAGAGACAACTTACTTGGGATGAAGCTCAAGTGGTGGCTTACCGTGCACCAACAGCTGAGGAGCAGGCTAACGCTGCTGCTGATCGTGATGTTTTAGCTAAGGCAATGTGGGATGATTATGTGATACATCCTCATCGTCGTTAGGAAAAGTCCAATGTAATAGTTCACTAAAACCCTTATTTTGTAATTTCAGACTTCGAAAACAAACATAGCTTTTCAAAAACAAAAAATAGCACATTTAGAGCCATCATAACTTTTGTAAAACAAACATAACTTTAAAGAACAATAACTTTTAAAAAACCATAACTTTTGTAAACAATCACTTTTGTAAAACAATTAGCTTTGAAGGAAAGAATGTTCTTGAGGATTGATCCATCTGAATTCCTGGTAATTGATAATATATTGATGATTATAATTTTGCAAGAGCTTTGGGGATTGATGAAATTCAACTATGAATGAACCGTAACTTTTGGTAAAAGAAAGCAGTGTCAGTAAGGATAGTTTTCAAACAACATTATGTCAGAAGAGTTGGAAACATTTGAAAAGAATACCTTTATATAGCTTGTTGATTTTTCTTCTTGAGTTCAGCAATTGCCTCTAGCAACCATTCAAAGCAAATATCGTCGTCTAACTCTAAAAAGAACTGGGCGTCCGCTTCATTTCGTAAAATCTTGGCTGCAGCAATGCGATCTGATGTCAATGGGAAATGTCCTTGATTACCTGCTCTGAAGCGTTCCATAGCTGCAGGTTGATATCGCTGAGGAGGTGGAGGGTGGAGAGCCTCTCTCTTGATTCGAGCTGCTTCGACAAGCGCATCGGCTCAGGCATTGGCTCGGGTATCCTTTTGGTCTTCTTTTTTGATTAAAGCTTGAGCCTTGAGGGCCGAGTTTTCAGTGACTAGCTTGAGTGAGGTTGCCAGATTGACTGGTGGCTTGTAAGAACCACTTGGCTTGGATGTTGATACCAGAGCTGGTTTGGGAACATGAGCTGATGAAGTGAAGGGATTTTTTGAAGTCGAAGCACCCTTTTGATCAACCTTTGAGGTCTCTAATCGATTGATTGTATTAGATCTAGGTGGTGGTTTAGAGGTGATGGCCGAGTCAGAAGGTCTTGGTGGGAGTGGTGGTGGGAGTGGAAGATCCGGAAGATCCGGAAGATCAGCATCCTCGACTTCATAGGGATCAGCTGTGATGGAGGAGCAAGGAATATAAGCAGTGATAGTTTGAAATTAAGGATGAAGAGAAGGGCACGTACCTGCTAAGTCAATGACTTTGCCTTTCCCTTTCTCACCTCCATCAACAGGCTCGTCCTCGCTGTTGTCAAGTGCTTCCTCTGAGGCTGTTAATGAATACTTGCGCTTTCTTTTTTGAGTACTGGTTCCAGTCCGATTAGCACCAGAAATCGGAGTTGAACCTAAAAGAGCATGCATTTCGTCATAATATTGAAAGCCATGTTCCTTGAATATCTGGGATCCTTTGTGTCCCTGTGATGTATTGTGATACGAATAAACAATCAAAAATGGAAATGAAAAGATTTGAGTGGAGTTGAGATGACCTACAGGAATCCAACCCTTCCAGAAGTCTTCGTCTCCATCAACAGTATTTTTTGCTTGACTCCAGCCCAATCCTGAACCTTCTTTAAGTTCGCGCATGAGAGTATAATGTCGCTTGAGCTGTAACAAAGCATGCAAAGACTAGATATGAGCAGTTGAAAAAGTGAAATAGAGCGATATGAAAGGACTTACTGTAGCATAATGGTTCTTGAGTTGACCAATGTTAAGGTTAATTCCAAATGTATCATTCAGGTCGGTCTCAGCCTTAGACCAAACAGAAGGTGGGAAGTTGTTATCAGATGAGTCATTGTCTCAATTGCCATCTAGAAGGGAGTCAAGTAGAGAGGCAGTTTGAGCTTCAGTCCACTTGGCTTGAGGCTTGGGAGCTTGAGAGCTTGTCTTTGGTCGACCCATTGATAGAGTGATTGATGTAGAGTCTTTTGAATCTGAAAGGTGAGGTGTAGGAGTCAATTTGTCCAGTTCTTTCAGGGTCAAGGAGATCGATTGAGATGAAATCAGTTCAAGGGAAATAGACATTAGATGAGACACGGTGGGATGGGCTTGAATCTTATCAATCCCCATCCCAAAACCATCAGGTTAACCGTGAGGAGCTGGGGAGGTGGCAGCCTGAATCTTATCAGTGCGCTCCGATTCCCCAGCTTGAGGGATAGACTGCCAGATTGAAGAAAGTGAAGTAGTTGAGATGAAAAAGATCTCCTTTAATTACCCTTGAGTGGAATCAAAATGAGAGGTGTAGAAAGGAAGTCGAGTGTTGATAGGGTTGAATCCAAAGGTGAGTGGTGAAAGGGTTGGATTGGTTGAATCGAAAGGTGAGTGGTGAAAGGGTTGGATTGGTTGAATCAAAAGGCGAGTGGTGAGATTTGAAAAAAAAAAGACAAGTACAAATTTAGCCAAGGGAGGACCGATGGACGGGTCAAGAGGTAAATTTGGTTGGGGGAAGGAGGTGATTTAATGGATTAATGCACCTTTTGAACAAAATAATTGACTGTAGAGTCGATTATTTTTTAGTGCATTATTGGTGCATTTTGCACTGCAGACATTATTCGGGTTCCCCAAGTGGGCAGGGAAAAATGATTGGGAGTATGATTTGTCATAAAATGGTCTATCACTCCACACCTGAGCCATAACACCCACACTACATATGTGTAGCAGGCTCAGTGAATATGTGGTTATCATGTACATACAGTTCTGCTCAGTTATCTGCTCATCAGGACAAGTTATTCATATGTAATACATGCTGTAACTTCTTTCAGATTGAAAAAAGCTTCCAAAAGATTGACTACATACACTGACTCAATGTTTTGGTGTGATCTCATCAACTCAACTGCATGTAACACACTTTCTGTTACTAAGACATAGCTTCAACAATATTGCCTGAGCAGCTACAGAATTATATGTAGTGAATTTTTGGGAAAAAAATTTCAAAGTCAAAAAAGTTACATGTGGTATAACATGTGATTTATTTATTCTGATGGGCAAAAAACTGAGCAGACCTGTATGTACATGATAGACAACTATTGACTTAGCTTGCTGCACATATGTAGTGTGGGTGAAATGGCCCAGGTGTGCAGTATTAGATTCTTTTATGAAAAACTATACTATTAATCATTTTCCTCTGCCAAATTGGGGAAGTTGAATGATGTTTACAGTGTTGGGTAGTTTAAATCAATTAAAATTTTGCATTAAAACCTAGCCAAAGAGGTTTTTTTTAATGTGCATTAAATTAAAAATTTAATCCAATTTTCAGTTTAAGGTACATTAAAATGCACCAGCCAAACGTAGCCTTAGTCAATCAGCCCAAATCATCCAAGAGTCTAAATATGATCAGCATTTGTAGGAACCTCATTAGCAAATTTATCTGCTATAAGAACTAAAGAAACACCTACCAAAAGATTGAATGGGCATCTCATTTACAATACCCAGATTCAACTATCACTTTTTTAGAAAATATCAACCAAAACTAAAGTCAACTATATCTACTTGAATCAGCTTTGTCCTACTATGAAATCTTTACTTTAGATCTCCATTTGTACTTAGGCCACTCCTTCAGATATTTTTCTCTATTTCTTTTTCCATCATTGTTACTAGGATGTTGAAGATTGTTTAATTAAGACTATCCAACTAAAGTTCCTTTATATTGATTTATGTTTTGATAAATTCTTTTATCAAAACAACACTAAAGCATCACCTAAGTTTAGCACATATTCATCTTGGAAGATAGTAGTAGTGAGTGCACTTTGACTATAAATGCCAGCGGTATTCATCTAAAGCCTAAGACAACAGTAGCTAACAACTATTGTTTCCTACTTGCAAACTTACCTATGAAGAATCTGAAATAAAAATAAATTTTGTGAGTATAACTCAGCCTGGATCTTCACTTTTTACCCTCTATCTGAAGTCCCAAGTTGACAGCTCTTCTCAAATCTAGTGCTAATCTTGCAGCCTAGAAAAACTTACAAATTGTGAAGATCACTATCTCTTGGCTTGTTATGTTTTCAAACTTGTTCCCATCATTCATTGTGTTCCTGACTGGCCCTACAAAATCCACCATCACACAAGTTGAAAGCAATGATCAAGTGTTTTGTGATGTCTTACAAGAAGAGAACCTTCTGTATCCAGATGAACTTTTAGATGGAATTTAATAGTCTCAAGTAAGACACACTTTCCAATATCTTTCAGACAATAATGTGACTCCAAAGGCTTCCAAAGAAATGACCTCAACTGGCCTCAAGGTGACAAGGACTGGCATTCCAATACTTATAAGGCATCCCTCAAATCAGCCACAATTCCATAAATTGCACCTCATTCTGGAGACTGTGAGATTTTGCAGGTGCAGGAGAGCTTCCTATACATGTCACCCCAAAGATGATTCCTGCAATTGGAGATGGATACCACCTACATACTAGTGAACAAGGAAAGGGAAACTGTCTTTTTGTATCACACATTGGGAATCGGATGATAGACCCCACAGCTTATCTCCAACCTAAGCATACCATATATCAAGACAAATCATCCTCCCAACCAGGTTCAGAGAACCTGCTGCAAATTAATGAGATAGAGATC